TTTAAAGACATTTTGAAAACGGGTTTGTATTAAATTCAGGGGATATTTGTCCGACTTCTTTGTCGATTGATATAGGTTATCGATGCTTAATGGAATCTGACAATCGATGCCTATAAGAGATCTAATTAAACAAATCTGACAACTGATTCAACAACAACTGGTTGTCATTGACTACATCGATCAATGTCAACAAAACACAACCAGGATATCGATGCAAACAAATCTAACAAGCTTAGAAAATATATCAGATTGTCAAAAATAGTCTACTTGATATAAAAATATCATAAAACAAAAATAGTGAAAAGACGAATATCCACAAAAGTCTCATGAATATCATGATTTGTTTAGTAAGTGTTTCATCTAGTACTTCTTTTTGGTTTTCACAAGTATATAGAACATGTACTCATCCTGTATTTATGAATAAAAATGATATTTGTGGTATACGTCAATGAGACACCAACCCAACGACACAAAAAAGACATATAAGCGTCAACGTATGGTCGTTAGCAATAAACAAGCATCTATACAGTGTCAAACTCTGCAATCAGTCAAACTATAGAAAAATTGTGAATAAATCAAACATAGATTGCCACCAATTAAAAACATTAAGTTAATAACCGGAGATAAACACTGGCGAAGTTTCTGTCTTGGGATATTCACTTATTTGCCGAACGTTCAAAATATTTATTAGAAGGGTTTGCATGTATACAACAACAGTCTTAAGTTGATATTACATAATCTACAAATCTGTATGTATAGCTTTTTTATTGATGTGTATGTTTTTTGCATTGCGATAACCACAGAAACAGATGACGAAAAGATAAAACATAATGCAATGTTATAAAACCTTAAACTGTTACAAATTGTTTGTGGTTTCGTAATATTGTATTGCAGCAAAGCTTTTTATATGTTTCGTTGTAGTTAATATAAATGAAAGGAAAAAACCACAAACCATACTTAAAAACTTTTGAAATATACAACTGCAATATGCTTAAAATTGTGTATGATAATATTCCGTATCAATCCGGAACTCGTAGATTATCACTCTCTAATCCTACAATAGAAGTACTATCTAAAGCTGGACAGTCGCATATTTAAGGACTTGCTATTAGTGGATCGACGTACCCTTTTGCGAAATATATTTATGAAAATAAGAAGATAGATATGGTATGACTGCATATGAGACAAATATTCACCAAAGACCAAATGACGTAGATGTTAGCATCTATAGGTCACCGTTCGGTCTTTAACAATGAGCATAACCCATACAGCATAGCCAGTTGTAAAAGGCCCGAATATATGTAAAACCATTCAAACGAGAAAAAAGTAAGGGCCTGATTTATATGTGCAAGACAATAAATGAAAACTCATGAAATATGATATGCAACAGCAAACGAAAACCACTAAATTACAGGCTCCTGACTTGGAACCGACACATACAGAGTGTGGCGGGGTACAATTGGTGCAACAATACATCATAAGAACAGACTGCAAAAATCAGTTGTAAAGGACTTAACTAATCAGATAAATACAAAGCACAAAGACAAATACAAAAAGACAAAAGACATAAAGTTCTGATCTAAGAGTACCACCTGGTTCGAAGCCAGCAAAGAACTTTGTTACTTATCATCCATGAATGAATACATCCAACAATAATAACAACGCTGTCAACCAACGTAGTGCATGCAACCAAAAATAAAGCTACTTAACAAAGATAAACAATTGAAAGGAGATGAGAAAAGAACGATTAACAGCAGTGGCATGGTCATTATTAATGATATTATAATGAATTTCCATGGGGCCCGATAAAAATTTTAAAATTTAAAAGAACCCGAAAAGATGACAAAAGGATCCAGTGTAGTAGTCTTCCTTCTTGAAAAAAAAAGTTCAAACAGATAATAGAGGCGTTGGTACCATAAAGTCGGACTTATATAAACAATATGAATTAGATAAGGCAAATAATATGTCTAGAAACCGCATTTTCGGTAACTCGAGAAATCAATTAAGTATTGAATATGTACCACTCCTCTTGAAAAGTCAAGTGCGGATGCTTAATTATAATTTCGTTTGGTAATACGCAGAAGGGGTTGGGTTTTGAATAAAAAATCATAGCAACAACACAATCACATGATGGAGAGAAAGGATGTCACAAAGATTTAAACACTTCGTTCCAAAAGTACTTCCTATCTCTTTTTGTAAAATTTCCTTCCTGTAACTTTGAAATCTTATATTTATTTCATTACAATTATGCATGTGATGGCAACAACACTTTCATACTTATTTCGTACCGTCTCAAATAAAGTGTTTCCTCTTACCTTCAACACTTTTATTTAAAACACTTGCTAAATATTGGTTAATTATGTAATGCGTAAATAAATATTCTAATATAACTTTTAATGTTGTTTTTGTAATGTCCACTGGCAGGAATTTCCCCAATAAATCAGGACTACCAAACACTATAGCAAGTACGATTTTTGTTACATAGAAAACATTAAAAGGATGATATGATTTCAGACTGTGGTATTATCTAACAAAAATCTATTTTAAGTCACTACATAAACCACTTTTCTGCACACATTTCGGACTATTTTAGTAACAATTACAAGTATACATGACATTACCCTTAGATGTAGTGTCCTCAAAATCAAAAGAGAGCTTCTTCTCATTACATGACAAAAATATTTGATATAGCATACGGAAACAACTTTTCTGCATAATTTCAGTTTATGTTGAATAACTATGACCATGATCTTAGACATTGTGACCTCAACATCAATAAGTATCTTCCACTCACTACAGATGACCATGTATCCTATTAAGGTTGTAATCCCAAATATTGTAATTGGTTGAGCACCCGGAAAACGCGTTCCTGCACATATGTCGGTCTATATAAAAATAAGGAGATGTGGTATGATTGCCAATGAGCCAACTATCCACCGCAGTTCAAATGGAGTGGGTGTAAGCAATTATAAGCAACCGTACAGCCTTCAACATGTTTGGTTACTTTGACCTTGGCCTTAGACGTGGTGACCGCAAATCAAAAACAATCTTCCTCTTATTATATATCACATATCCCAAGTAAGGTTACAATTCGATATAAAGTAGATGGTTAGCATCTCGAAACCGAGATGAATAACTGACGGACGCATAAAAACTACATTCTCTCTCTACTTCGTAGCATGGGGTTAAATTATTAAATATCATATCCTGCTTTCTCGGATACAGTAATACTATAAATAAACAGAAAACAAGACAATAGTTATTTTCCTGGCCACATTTACAAAAAAAGATTATGGCAATACAGTTGTAACAGTACAATAAAGTAGTAAATGAACGAACTACTCAGCATAATTTCTTATTAAAAACATAATGATAAGTAATAGTACAATGAAATACAATCAAGTGTCCGCTTCAGCTAAGTGCCTTCTAGTATTGTAAGGCGATCATTTATAAATTTTATCCATGTTCTATTTGCTCGTGATGTCTATATTTAAAGAGTAAAAGCACATCAGCTTCAATGTCACTTGTCTTAGCACTGCCGGTTTCAATTGCGAACATCGCGGTTGTTTAAAGGTAATCCCGTTACGAGGTACACTCTCTTACTTTGAATCAAAATTACACTTGCTTTATTTTCGACACTCAGTCTGCTGGTAATACTATTAAGTGATATAATAATAAATAATTGACAAAATGCGATGACATTTTGAAGTTCAAATTTTTACAGGAATAGAATCTACTTTGAAGTGATTAATCCACATATTGACAGTTCTGACATACGATATGCACCATCTGTTAGGTGCACGCAAAAACATATACATCTGAGATGTTGTTTGATACCCTATGTCAATATACACAATAGAATATATGCAGGTGTTAATTCTCTGTTCATGACACAACACTTTACCGATAAAAGGTTATCAGAAGATAAGCTGTTTTGCTTGCATTGCTTCATGACTATAATAGCAGCATTAATCAGGTCTATTTTCTATTCTCACTGGTTCAACAACATTTCAGTAACTATGATACAACATATGATGTCGCTTTGTCCCTTCGGTCCAGTTAGAAGCATGCCATATTATCTTGACTAGTTTATGCAATAGTAGGATCAGATATAACCTAAGCCATGTTGCCAACATCAAAATTTCAATAAGCTCAAACATTTTGTCTTTAAAAACCTATTCAAAGCTGTCGGTTGACATTATCAAAGATTTTTACAGTTGTTTAAAAGTTTATTTGGACTATGGAAGATGATTCTACTCACTGAGAATAAATGCATAAATGTCTCTGACGTAACGTTTACTGGAATGTCACCCTTGCTTGGGTGCGAAGGAATCGAAAAAAGATGTTTTACACCACAAAAAAAAAAACACTTCAGAAGAAGAAGATCTTAATCAATCCAGAAATGGTTCAGATAGACAAAACAACATTCAGAATGCTCCTGGAAAAAAATTACACCATTGATACAAAGTTCTTTGATATTTGCCATTGAAGTGTTTTGATGTTATATTCCAAATCATATCTCTGTGCTCCACTAGGTTTGTAAATGTTTCTACTATTTCATTTGTCCAAATGCACTTTCTATTACTCTTTCTATTAGTTAACCTGGCTTTCACGTTGGTTTACCATGAGCTTTGGTCATGAAAATAATACAAAATCTAAATCGGATTAGGTGAAAGCTTTAAGTAAAATCAGGACAGATTTCTAGGCTGTCAAAGTTTTTGTTTCAAGTTTTGTCTGACCCCTAACCCTACCAAACATCGACCAAAACGTTGTCAAATTGACGGTCGGTTTAAAAAATAACTAAACAATATGTCTGCTACTGCTATATCGGAAAACATTTATTGTCACCGTTAAACAAGGAAACATGTTATACTGCTTTCTTGATCAATTTTCAGAGTCTCAATCTAATCCACCTGACTAATGGTATTTTAAATTATCCCTTCCCAATACTATCCACTACACTTTTTTCAAGACTGTATCAAATGTTTCTTTCGTTGCAGTGATATCGTTTGTACTATCAGAATGTCCACCAGATGCAGAACACAGAATACAGTTATGCATTAAATCTTCATTGCCAAACTTTGGCGTTGGACCTCCAAATGATGCTAGTCCGCCGAATGCTTTGAAAACTAGCATTGAGATGTCTAAAGATTCATGCCAGTAAGTCATTGTTTAAATTGGAAATACTTCATACTTGCATGCATGAACTTAATTTACATAATCGGGCAATTTACCGCTACAATTAAAATAATTTGCATAGAGGTTGCCAATTAGTTTGCCAATACGAGGAATAAAAAAAAAACATGTTTAAATTGTAATTGGGAATAGTATTATGCTGTTTTGTCTAAAAGGATAATTTTGAATCCTTTTAAACAGGTTTATTCAAATTATTTCCAATTCGACGTTATTAGAACGATAAACGGAATTTTGTAATAAAAATTACGGATCAAGCAATCGTTCAACGAAACCACATGATGGTGAATTGATTTTCCTCAAATCTTAATTTAATCTTCAAAGTTCAGATAACATATGCCAATATTTAATCTTTTTTTTTACATTATCAACAGTTTCTGCAGTGAAAGTTTTCACGTGAAAAAATACCGTTTTTATTGATTACACTTGTGCACTTAACTGTTTGATTTACATCGTGAAATCTATCACTAGAAACATACAGAGAACTCGCCCTTAACAATCGATACAATTTTCAATCTATTACCATCATACAGCTTTTATTTTCAGATCAAAGAAATTAGAGAGCTCTGCTGTATGTATGCAAGATTTTTTGGACCAATGTCAAGGAACTACAGACAGGGAACAATTATTACAAAGATTATTTGACAAAGAGAAAATTATAGAAACAGTTCGATATTTCTGTTCCTCTTTGAATAGTGAGTTATTTTCTGTTCAAGAGTTACAAGCATGTCTTGTTTTCCAGAGTAAGAACATTGCATGGGATGATAGTATAATCATACATTTTTAAAAACATTTTGAGAGGAAAGTGTTTGGGCCAGTCAAATTGAAATAATTCTTCTTGCACATTAAGTTTATTGATTCTAAAATTTCTTGTACCTGTTTATACACATTTTTTAAATGTAAAATACTTTGAGACATTAGTTCTATATTTATTTTGTTTGACAACATGAAAGTGTTCACGACATCTTGCTATCATCACCTTCAATATTAACATTTACCCAAAGGGTTGACTATGGTAAAGACATATGGAGAGTTGTCTCATTGGCAATCATACCAGATCTTCTTATATCTATATATGGTCATCCCATGGTCTTCTTCCGACAGACAGTAAAACCCTTGCCAAAGTGCTTAAGTGCAAAGTCCGTTGGATTGTGCAGGATGTATACATACACAGCCACGTCTGGTCGGTCTAGGGATGTTAAATCTGATGTCTCATGCCCACTGCACGTTAAAGAACCCTTGTAACAACTATCGGAGAGGTCATAAGGTTGCCTGTTGCAAGGCAATATTTCTGTCCCGTCCAACATACCTTCATTTTCCAGTGGCAGTTCGAATTTCCATACTTTCATCCCGATCGATCCCTTCCTTGCTGAACCTACCTTGTATTAATTTATAATTTGTTAACTTCCTGAACTTGCATGAAATATTTGCCAGTAAAGCAAACAAAAACCAATCAATCAGTAAATATTAAGTCTGAATTACCGATCCCCATTATTATTTTTGCACTGTTATGATGTTAATCGTTAAAAGAGGGAACTACTAATTTTGGACTTTTTGTTTGTTGCATATTTGATATTGATTGATTTTTTGGGTAAATGCCCAGTGGCAAATATTTCATCGCATGCATATTCCGAACATGTTTTGCCTATACCGTGTAAATTGATAATCCCAAAATCAATGGAAAAACGCCTTTATTTCTGTTCTTCATCTGACATAATGTCACCAATATCACAGAAATACACATTTTTACAATGTATATGCATGCCTAAATTATGTAGAACTTAATCACGTTTAATTGATTCTACTCACACAAGGACAACTCTGTCCAATTTACAGAAAACATGTGAAAAGCTGCGGCATTTTTGCTTTAAAACTTGAACCAAAATTCGTCCAAAGCCATACATTTCAGTAATGCTGTTCGCTGGCATTTAAAAAAGCTTCTGCAATGTGAAAAAAATATAGTAATTATCATGGTAAATAAAAGTAATATTTACATTCCAGTTTATGAACAAAATGCAAAATGTATAGCTAATCAACATGAAATGGTAATAAACTGTACCCGTGATGAAGCTGTGAGATACAGGACGATATACGGAGGAAATCCTACGTATGATGTACTTATACAAGCCAATTGCCGGTATGTTTAGCCATCAGTTATATGAAGCAAGGAGGGGCACTTTACGGTTTCAGTAAAATGATGTTAAAGGAAATCCGAAGTGAAAGAATTAACTAGTATACTCTTTTAGTATATATTAATTTTAATTAGGAATGATGAGGAAGCTTCTGTTTGTTAGAGTTAAGCCATTTATATACAGTAGGAATAAAGAGAAAGATATTATATTCAGTATGTATTACTAAAGACGTTTATAGTAGAAACAAAGAGGGGTTTCTGACTGACCGAGTACAGTCATGTCAAGAAGGAACAAGGGACCTTTTGACTCTTTGAGCTACACCATTAAACCACTAAAAGTAGAAAGAGATAGTAGGACTAGCTGTTTGAGTAGTACTTTAAGATGGACACAGAGAGAAGTTTTTGTTTGTTTGAGGAGGAGGAATAAATATGACGTTGCTATATAAGCCTTTTGAAGAAGAATTAAAGAGATTACGTTTCTTGTTTTTTAGCTCAACTGGCCCAAAGGGCCAAGTGAGCTTTTCTCATCACTTGGCGTCCGTCGTCGTCCGTCGTCGTTAACTTTTACAAAAATCTTCTCCTCTGAAACTACTTGGCCAAATTAAATCAAACTTGGCCACAATCATCATTGGGGTATCTAGTTTAAAAAATGTGTCCGGTGACCCGGCCAACCAACCAAGACGGCCGCCATGGCTAAAATAGAACATAGGGGTAAAATGTAGATTTTGGCTTATATCTCTGAAACCAAAGCATTTAGAGCAAATCTGACAAGTGGGTAAAATTGTTTATCAGGTCAAGATCTATCTGCCCTGAAATTTTCAGATGAATCGGACAACCCGTTGTTGGGTTGCTGCCCCTGAATTGGTAATTTGAAGGAAATTTTGCCGTTTTTGGTTATTATCTTGAATATTGTTATAGATAGAGATAAACTGTAAACAGCAATTATGTTCAGCAAAGTAAGATCTACAATTAAGTCAACTTGACCAAAATGGTCAGTTGACCCCTTAAGGAGTAATTGCCCTTTATAGTCAATTTTTAACCATTTTTCGTAAATTTTTGTAATCTTTTACAAAAATCTTCTCTGATGAAACTACTAAGTCAAATTTAACCAAACTTGTCCACAATCATCATTAGGGTATCTAGTTTAAAAAATGTGTCCGATGACCCCGCCCGCGAACCAAGATGGCCGACATGGCTAAAAAATAGTACATAGGGAAAAATGCAGTTTTTGGCTCATATCTCTGAAACCAAAGCATTTAGAGCAAATCTGACATGGGGTAAAATTGTTCATTAGGTCAAGATCTATCTGCCCTGAAATTTTCAGACCAATCAGGCAACACGTTGTTGGCTTGCTGCCCCTGAATTGGTAATTTTAAGAAAATTTTGCAGCTTTTGGTTATTATCTTGAATATTATTATAGATAGAGATAAACTGTAAACAGCAATAATGTACAGCAAAGTAAGATCTACAAATAAGTCAACATGACCAAAATTGTCAATTGACCCCTTAAGGAGTTATTGCCCTTTATAGTCTTTTTTTTACAATTTTCATAAATTTTGTAAATTTTTGTAAATTTTTACAAAATATTTTCCACTGTAACTACTGGGCCAAGTTCATTATAGATAGAGATAATTGTAAGCAGCAAGAATGTTCAGTAAAGTAAGATCTACAAACACATCACCATCACCAAAACACAATTTTGTCATGAATCCATCTGTGTCCTTTGTTTAATATGCACATATACCAAGGTGAGCGACACAGGCTCTTTAGAGCCTCTAGTTTAGTAAAGTTATTAAAGTAGGAATATAAAAAAAAATATTATCTGTTTTTTGAGTGAGTGTTTTTAAATAGGGATATATAAAAAGAGTTTTGAGTCATCCGTGTGAGTCATGTCAAGAAGATTAGAAGGGTTTATTTCATTTTGTTTGGGAGATCATGTATGGACTTATACACATTACATGGTGTAAATATAATGAAAATAAAACGAGAGGAACACTTTGTGTTAAATGTTACCTATATATAGAAATAAAGATAAAGTTTCTGACCGTTAAGTTTAGCTTTTGAATGTATGAACAAAGTGAAGGAGTCTTCATCTGACTGAGTGAATTAATTCAAAGTAAGAAGAAAGAGAAATTTTCTAATTGTTGTCATAAAGTCATTCAAGGTAGAAACAAAGAAGAGGATTTTCTTGCCGTTTCAGTTTGTTCTATTGACAGTATTGTTACGTTGTTACATCGCTGTCCCAGGTTGATAGTTGTATCATTTTCAATCATACCACATCTCCTTATTTCATATCAATTAGATTTGAAACAAAGAGAAGTTTCTAGGTGTTTAAGTCAAGTCAAAGTACGTACAAAGAGAAGTTTCTGGGTATTTAAGTCAAGTCAAAGTACGTACAAAGAAAAGTTTCTAGGTGTTTTAAGTCAAGTCAAAGTAGGTACAAAGAGAAGTTTCTGTGTTTAAGTCAAGTCAAAGTAGGTACAAAGAGACTGAGTTTCTGTCTGTTTGAACAGTCATTGAATAAACAAAAAAGAGAAAGGGTTTTTGACTGTTTGATTGATTGATGGCTACTTTATTCCAGTGGCAAATATTACATGCTTATTCCAAATGATATGATAATATTAAACATATAGATAAATATTTTATATTGCATTGAAGAATGCTCACAGTTACTGAAAGCAAGCTCAAAGTATCCTGCTATTATTGTAGTAATTATGTCTTGCAATATCTGTTGCTTTACTAAATTGATGATTGAAGACATGATCTTGTGCAATGACAAGAACAAATTAAATATATTCTACTTTGTACTAGACAGACTTGCTGAGTTATTTAACATACTAGTTCACAAGATAACTCTGGCAAGAAAACATAGGACACATTGGTCTAACTGTATAACAAACAAGTTTTGCTCAAACTCCTAAATGCCATGCACTTTGTAGAGATGCAAACAATTTAAGACTTTGATTTGACCCAGCAAAGAAGAAACAATAATGTTTTACCTGTTTGAGTTAGAGAATTGAAAATAGGAACAAAGAAAAAGGGTTTCTGGATATAAGCAAAGTTATTTAAAGTAAGAACAAAGAGAAGTATTTTCACCCTATTTGAATAAACTAATTCTTTTATAAAGTTACATCAATGAAAAGTGTGCAGTAACAGAACCATAGAATTAGCAGTGCTGATTTCTCTTTTGTACAGAATTGAAATAATCCCTAAGCTCATATACCGGTACTTAAAATATTTATTCATTAGATCTCTCTTTCTCTCCTGTGGAAAGTATTTTTAATTTATACTTAAACATTTTACTTCTGATGTAAAAATAAAAATGTATACAGACCATGTGAAATAATCTGTACAAACTGGCTACAACCCTTTCATTTTTTTAAAAATTACTTGAGAGCCCCACCCCTCCTTCTTCCTAGGAAAGAAAAAATATGTTCCCTACTCACTACTGTTCAAATACATGAACTGCATACCAAAGTTTATATTGATCTATCAGTGCAGTAGAATTATTGTTTTTTTATGAATGAAAAGAAATTTTTGTAAAAGTCAATAAGGATGTAACCAAATGGTATAAAAGCCAAAAGACATCTGTATGTATCAGCACATAAAATGCTTGTGTTTATGTTATATAAATTGTTTGTATACTTGGTCATTAAATTACCAAACTTTTTAAATTTTCAGGTTTAATAAAATAGCCATGAGTTGTTTGGAGAATTATGTATTTGAAAACTGTGGTCTTGCAGCAGCAGAGTTCATAGAAACCATTACAATAGGCCAAACCCCACCATCATGTGAGCCCAGAGAAAGGAAATATTCACAAACTGGACCCAAAGACAATTCACAATGTATCACAGCTAGTATCTGGACTACAGTCATACTATTGTTTATAAAAGTACTTCTTAAATGAAACTTATTTCCAATGAAGAACATGGTTTAAATCATCAATATTGAAAACTATCTGAATGTAGCAGAAGGAATTCTGGGAAAAAAAGATAAAATTGTGTTAAAAAATTATTAATACATTTTTAGATGAAAAACATTCAAGACAAAACATTGAATTATTTCAGTCGTGTAGCAAGAACTGTGTGAGTTATGGTAGTTTATAAACATTCCATGATTTTTTGTGATTGTGTTTATGTTTTTTTTGTTAACTTATATCTATTTTAACGCCTTTTTGTATGTATTTATTTAATAGACTGTAAATAGTATGCAAGGGGATATTTTTATAACTTGGTCCCTGCCAACTGTTGATTGCTTAAGTGTTCCTATTTATTTGCTTATTGATAAATCTTTTTGTGACTAATTAATCGCTAATACGATGCTCGTTCCATCCAGAGTTAATTGGTTGGGGATGGGGCCTTTATTATTGTGACTGTTAAACAATGGACACAAATGTCAGATTAATTATTGTGACTGTTAAACAATGAACACAAATGTCAGATTAATTTTTGTAATTTCAGGAAATACTGCATACAAATAATGCCATCAAAATTTAAAATGCAATTTCTTATATTTGCGAAATACATCCCGTCCTCATTTTCACAAAATATAAAACATCAAAATAATTCCTAATCACAGAAAACATCGTTTATTGGTATATCTTAAGTATGTAAGTGATTGAAGGACAAATTTTTATAAGCATTCAGACTTTATTGAAGAGACCTAAATTTTCAAATCTATGAAGATACATACTGTTTCATGTTTCTTAAAGCAATAAGTATACAATATATATGCATTTATTTTGATTCATTACCATGAGAAGCAGTTGCTATCAAGAATTATTCATAAGAGAGGCATAGTTTAGAACAGATAAATATTGACATGATCTTCCAAATGCCATTAATTCAATGCTTTTACAAGTACAGTTACTTTGTATCAGTATATGAAATTGTATATGAATGTAACATGCATAGCAATTTAACAATGTTGTTTTTAATTGATTTATCACATAAATTTTTACTGGTAAAGTCATCAAATAACAGATTGAACAGACAGAATTCCAATTATGTAATAATCTATAAACTTGGAAATCCCATTTCCTAATGACAAATAAATATGTTGCAAGTATTTTGAATTACAAGAGCAATGAACGTTCAACTCAACTGATATCCTACAAGATAATTGATATAATTCAGTGTATGGTGAACCCAACAACCATGAAATTTGGCATCCAACAAATACATGTTTTCCATTGAATCAAAATCAGTTACTCTTAAAACAAATACTTAAAAACTCCTCAGAGGACTGTGTTTTTATATACCACAGCAAATTGATACCCACAGAGAAAATTAATTCTACTATAGTTTGGACTGGTTACATGACCTTCAGCCAGAATAATGGAAATCTTAACTTTTCTGTTTGGACAGTATCACCGAAAAAAAGGACTCTTGACAATCAAAGTTTGTTATGTTAATTGGTTTCTCCTTTTATTCCCCAAGCGCCTGTTGTTTTTGACAACACTTAAGTTATGAAATTCATATTCAACAATACCATAAGACATTTTGAGTGGTTTTGCATACTTCTTCATGCTTAATTGCCAGAGAGATGGGCTGGTTTCTTTTTTGGCCTTACAACCTTTTTATAATGTATTCTCTACAATAACCTTAACTTAGGTTAAACCATATGTATTCATTTGCATGTTTAATAATGATTGTACGAAATCGGAGTTTGTAAATAATTTTGATATATATATTTTTTTTTTGTAATTAGTTGTATAAATCATTTTGTATGTAATAATATTGTTTTTAAACATGCATATTAAACTGGAATGATTATTCATTACAAGATGATCCCATTAAAATATTGACCAAGTAGTTTTACTTTAATAAATTATTTACACTTGGTAAATTGTTCAACTTCCTGGCAAGTGTTCAAGTCTGCAATACCATTATGATTGAGTACTTTTTTAAACTTTGTTTGTGTGTGAATTACTGTGTCTGTATCCACGGATATAAATAAAAAGGGGGGTTGAGTGTTAATAAAACAAGTACAGACACCTGTTTATTGTAAAATACAATATGTTCAATTCTAGATGTCTTTTTCAGATTATTAGTCTTGTTGAGTTCCTGTCTCATTGACATCTATCTTAGTGATACATGGAATAACATGATGATAAGCAATGTTCTTTTTCAGCTGACATACTTATTTAGATCTCACTTATTCATTTCCTTAGCTTACTTAAATTATTATGTGAAGTTTTCATGGCAGATGTACTTTTTGCTGTAGCTAATTATCAATGGCATGCAACACTAGGAAAATCCCCAGTCAGTTTGTGGATAACCACTCTAATAAATATCACAGTGGTTCAGCTGCAGCACATATGAAAGATAATAGGCTGATTCTGTTATGTAGTGTAATATAGCATGGTAATAAGTTCTGGAGAAATTAAATTCACTATGTGATCAATTCTATATCACAGTGGTTCAGCTGCAGTACATATGAAAGATAATAGGCTGATTCTGTTATGTAGTGTAATATAGCATGGTAATAAGTTCTGGAGAAATTAAATTCACTATGTGATCAATTCTATATCACAGTGGTTCAGCTGCAGTACATATGAAAGATAATAGGCTGATTCTGTTATGTAGTGTAATATAGCATGGTAATAAGTTCTGGAGAAATTAAATTCACTATGTGATCAATTCTATATCTGAACTTTGACATACACAAAGGTACAGTTGCCTATAATTGCTTACATCCACTTCATTTGAACTTTGGTGGACAGTTGTCTTATTGGCAATCATACCACATCTCCTTGTTTTTATATTTACAGGAATGTTTGTTTTTGCATTTAATGCCACTTTCAGCTACTTTGACTCTTTCAGGGAGGGTAGTTTTATTTGGTGTAGTAAGTCATAGTCCCAAAAGAGAACCACTGACCTTTGGCAGGAAAAGTGACAATCCTTGTCAATCAAGGTTGGAGGCAAATACACCTTGCTACAAGCAGAGTTCAAACTCCCAAACTCAGAGTTGACAGGCTAGTGATCTATGTAAATGAACTTCGTAGACCACTCAACCACTGAGATCCAGACTTAAAACAGAACATAGGGGCAAAACATGAATAAAATGTAAATAATTGTCTTGTATCTTGAAAGTTGTGAATGGTGAAATTATGACAGTGGCAAAAATGGCCATTAAGTGAATATAATTATATATTATATAACTATGAGAGGGAAACATAAACAAGAAACTGAAGAAACTCATTTGATATTTTATTTTATTGTCTGATTTCCTGAATCCATTTTCCATGAGATATAATTATAAATAGTTAAGAAATAAAGAAGCACTAAAGAAATTTGGGATACAATATTTCATTTCCTGCTACAATATGTAATAGTCAAGTTTTAAGTAAGTTCCTTACAAAAAATTCTTCATTTATCTATTAGTTCTGAATCTCTGCTCAATGAGGACTAAATGCTAACAAGCCTCATAACAAATCAAAGTGCATGTGAGCACTGAGGGTAAAGATAGCTTTCATTTTGCAATGTGAACTTACAAATTAAACATTATGAAATGGAACACAATTAGGCAATATTTTGAATTGGGAGTTATTTTCCAGTGTCCATAATTGTAGTTGAATCTTGCACAACTTATGTAATTTCAATTAAAAATACATTTTGACAATTATGATTATACAAATACACATCATTTTATAACTTGACTATCTGAGTACCATATTAATCATAAATATGATATGAAATTCAGAATTAATAGATAAATGAAGGATCTAAGAAATGTTAATCCTCACTGCACTAGGTTGTTTTGCTCTCGCAGGTAGGTTTGAGTCCTGAAAAATAACCTTTTCAAGTCAGTGAAAATAACAAAAACTGCTAGTACCTTATACTACATCAAAATTTGAGGACTGATTTCATGGATATTTATAAAATACACTGTAATAAGAAAAATACTTTTTAAGATCTTATTTGTTTTAATGAATTCACATATAAACAAATGTGTTAAAATGAATATCCATTCAGGAACTGACTCAAAACAGGTCTATTTCATGTAACATTGAACTGATATTCAAAACTTCCCATATACTAAAGTTATCATGTTGCTCCATTGTATACTGATGTATAAATTTCCAGCTGAATATAAAGCTATGACCAATGTAATGACATTTTTTTCATATTTAGAAGAGACTACTGTAAATTCGAAAATTATTGCGAAAAATGCAACAGGGTTTGTCGTCGCAATAATTTAAACTCACATTTGGATTTTTTTATTTGAATGATGCAGAATTTTTCTCAGTATCGCCAAAATAATAATAGCATTTTGGTCTAAAAAGACAAAATTGCAATAATAAATGCACGCAATAATTTCTGAATTTACAGCACTATTTACTGGAATTGAAAATGTCGTCTCCATAATGATAATGATAATCAATATAAAAGCCAAGCTCTTGAAATGAAAATCACAACAATGAATGTCTGAAACAATAAACAAATTTGCTTTTTGTATTAAGAACAATCAAAACATCTTATTACAGCACTTTTCAATAGGCCATGAATACTGAATTTCACTCTAAAATTATATATTTTGAAAGGAGTTATTTCCTTTCTAAAGGAAAAGTACTGATTGACAACAATAGAGAGGTATGGCGAAACATCAATTACTTATCTATAGACATTATCAGCTTTTCAAGTATGATTAGAAGTTTGCTAGAGGTAAAATGATCATACTCATATAAACCAAATATAACTGTCAATAATTGCAATGAAAAAGCCTTAATCTAGAAAGGGAATAACTCCTTATTCCATTATAAGTAAATAGTCGATCCAGCATTCAGAAAATGATATATTGAAGAGATCTATAGCAGAGGAAGAATGTCAGAAAATGATTAAAATAAGAATTATTTTTTGGTTTAATGTTTAACAAGAAAAGAAGATTAAAAAGCAATGTAATCAACATGATAAAACAAACACAACTAAATATAATCTCTATTAAAACACAACCTATACATTAAATGCTGCCTGATGTACAGATCTTCTATTCCATTAAAAACAATCAAGATCAATCAAAATAATGTACAAAACCAAGAAAAAATTCATAATATTGCTCTTCAATATAAAATTGTCAATATATACATTGTACAGTGTTAACAAAAAAGATAATTATTTAAATTCTGAGAATCAAAAAAAACAATTTGTATCTGGAGGAAAAAACCTGCTACATTCTAAAATTCATTCTTAATGTACTTGTTTCAAGCATTGCTGGTATTTTTATGCTACCACATTATGACCTCAAGCTCAGTATCACTATTACTGTCTACATGTTTTCTTGCCTATCAAAGCAGTCACAACTTATCTGATTCCAGGAAATGTAATTTTATGCCCCACAACTATGTGAACAAGACAGATAGTGTTACCTATGTCCATTATTCGGTTATTCTGTCCTTTTGAAATCTAACAATTGTCTAGGTTTTTTATAGGTGTATAAACTTATCAATAGGTCACTGCTATACCTTCAACAATGGGCAGATGCCAACCCTGTCATGTAAGCTATGAAGAACCCTTGAAAAATCTAGTCACAACTAATGATCTAATTTAATTAATTTATAATTTATAATGTTTTTAATACATAATGGTCTTTATTAAACATATCACAAGCACCAGTTTTGTAAGCGATATGAAATATTTTTCATCTTTATTTGTGGGATGGCAGAAAAGAGTTTGTGGCAAGCAATAAGTAAAGCACTCAATGAATTAACTAATCTTGATTGTGCTGGAAAAATGCTGTGCAATGAAATGCCAAGGGAAAAGTTTTCTATCTAGTTCATACAACTGAACTCTAAACTAAGGAATGACCTCTGCCTGTTATTGAGCACAAAGTCTCTGTAGGACTTGTGTCCTACAATTTTCATAGAAGAAATATGTTGAGTTGAGAGCTTGGTAGACTAATATATAAGTTTGACATTTGATTACAGACAAATTTACTGAAAGATTTCTCTGTATTGTATTTTTTCAAATGCAAAAAAGAAAATATATATATGAATGCCCAATACATGGCAGATATAGTATACCACTGTTATACATTGTAATTATCACAATATACATTATAATTCTATCACAAATTTCTGACATATTCATTTGGCACATATATAATATACAGGTACAAGTTATTTACAAAAATAATGTCGGTAATATACATTACTTTCACAACGGCATAAAATATTACACTTTATATCTTGGTTAAAATTTGATTCACAAAATACTGAGAATTTCTTCATTATTTCATTAACAGTATGTTGCAAACAACAATGATTCCTGATTTTATAATAAATAATTTTAAAACCAACATGTAAAGAATGTCCTTTTAAAGTAAAATAAGTTATCCATATTTACTGAAACAACTCTTTTGCAATCAACATAATACAAATTCATAACTTTGCTTTTTTGGAAATTGCAATTTGAAGGCATCCAAAACACAAAATAAACAGATGTAAATTGCACAATCCTTGAGAAATATATACAATGCTTACATTCATCAGACCTGTCACTAAATTTGTTAACTTTAAAAAAAAAAATAATATGTACAGAATTTTATAAACTGAAAGGTGTCCTTGTTTGGCTAAATATGTCTTCTCGATGGCACCTAGAAAAATAGTAAAGCATCACAGAGCACTAAAGCAGTGAACATTTAATTTAGAAGTACATATTAAATAGTGGCTTACAACACCCCTGAACATTTGTATATAGCTGGCTACATATTTCATCTTATCAAACAATATGAGAAATAGCCTTGAACAAATAATGAAAAAGAAGTGGCAAAAATAAATATATTTACTGTATATAAACTATGTTATGCTTGTCTGTATAAGCTTAATATTAAACATATGTAATTTACAAAGTAAAAAGGGTCTGGTGAGCATATCATTTGAACAGAATCAAATAAAGCAAACCGTGAATGTATGAATCATATTTTTTTTTACACATTTAATTGCTGTTTAGCTTTCTTTGTGACCCATTTATATCTAGGATCTTTGGCTTACATGAGATGAATGACTGAAGTGATATGACTAATACACAACCTGACACACTTATAGCTTAGGACACTTTAAATCTGTGTCATTTCAATGACAATCCTAACACTTTAGTCTAATAAATGTGCATCACATCGGAATAATTCTTATGTAATATTTAAGAACTTAAAAAAATATTAAAACATAAAGATTTTGATTTTTTGAACCTACTCAACCAGGAAAGGAACACTATAATTTTAATGACACACTTAACTAGTTCTTAAAAGTGAATGACTTCTAATAAGAAACTTCCTGTATTACCCATTGACAGATGAACTGATTCATCAAAATTACCCATTCAAATATATAAAATATATTTATCAGGATTTACCTGTTTTAACATTGAAATATTGAGCATTTCAAGTTGCTAGTTGTTGCAAATAAAATGACAAAAGTTCATTACTGTTTATTGATCTTGAATAAAAATTGATAGCAAGAAAAACTTAAAATTGGAATAAATTTACAAATAACACTTGATCAAACTATCAACTTGTTACTGATTTTTTTAATTTTTGCTCTCTCTCTCTCTCATTGCTGAAGAAATGAATCCATTTGTACTAAATCTACATTTTAGGTGTTCAATCTAGGCCTACAAATTTTAAGAAGTTATTTCTGCAACAAAATATCTATCAGAGGAAAAAAAAAAAAAAAAATCCAAGAAGAGTCTGATTTGTCGTGATAAGCATTCCCCCATTATTAATTCAAAGTTATTATGTATCAGAAAACAGAAAGTAGGTGTCTGACAGATTTTGAAAAGCATTAACAATTCCACCATCTAAAACAAACTCCAGAACAAATAGTTTATCTATCTAAACAAAACAAAACAAAAGAATGCTATAATTTGAGAAATAATTAACTAAATTACCTATATAAAATAAACCAGTACAATAAATAAATGAACACATTGATGGGACATTACTTTTGTTCTCAACAATTTGTACCAAGATAATGGTCTTGTTGAAAGGACCGTCTCTCATTCCTGGAAGGTAAAGCACTAAATGATCTGTCAGCGGAATCTAAACTCCTCCGTGCTGTACGCTTTATATGACTTCCTGTAGTTACTTTTGATTTGGCCTCCAAGAATTTAAATGAAGTCAAAGACGAAGTTGGTGTGGCCAGGGAAAATGAAAATGGTGACTTTAATTTTGATGTGATATTGTTATTATTAAACTTGTTAAATCCATAAGGACTTCCGACACTGGTTAAATTTTCTGATGATCGTGTCCTGCGAGATACTTGTGGGATATTGGAAGAGGTCCTTCCTTGAGAGGAATTTGGACGATTTGATACACTGTAGGATCTAATTATGTGTGAAGAATTATTATCTGTTTCCCAATAATTTCCAGCAGGTGTTGAGGCCCGTAATGGAGAGTTTCTAGAAAATATCACTGGAGATCTAATTTCTAACTTGGGAACTTTGGCCTGTTGTGTGTCCTGTTTTATTTCTTCTGCTTCGAAAGTAGATTTAAGAGACATATCAGAGAGACTTCTTCTCTTGATACTGGATGATGCATACATGATGTCAGGTTTACTGTCACTTCCTATTGAATTCCTGTTAACATAAAAAACATGCTACCACTTAATTCATGTAAAAATCAACAAAAGAGGAATGAGTACATGATACACAGGTGCCCCACTTATAAATGTGCAAGAGTCAACGTAGTAAAGTCAAGAGTGCGAAAACGGCATATTCAGCATTTTTTCCATTTATAAAGGAACTTAAGGTCAAGTTACAGTAAATGAACTCCGTCTAGCGGATACTGCAAAATGTTGCGATGTTTTGTACGAGTAACGTCCCTTTGACCAGATTTTGCAATATTGCAACCTGCGATTTTTTGACGGGACAAGGGTAAATTTGATGGGAAATATGTATCTTCTAGGAGAAGTAATTGGTTTGCTAAAATTGAAGATGAAGAAATGCTAAAGGATTTTGAAAATGAGTATGAAAATAATCATGAAGATGATCTTCAAAATGAAAATCAGGAACCCGACTGGCCATCGTAGGGTGGTAGAGCTTGGATATCTAGCCGACCAGTTAAAACAGTGTAAAAACTGTAGCTCCCCATTATTTCTTCATAATTGTGGAGAGGAAAAACAGTGTGGTCTCGGGGGTATTCTTTATGTAGTATGCCAAAATTGTGCTTACAGAAACCCTGTATTCACTGGGAAAATATATCTTCCTGCTGAAATAAGAAGAAGCTAGGGGGTGCAAGTTTGGGACATTACTTATAAACTTAGTCTTGGTAAGATATCTCCTATTTCGAAAATTACCACACCAGTCAGAACAAGTAAAAATATTTTCAAATTCAAGAAAAGAAAATGAACCACATAATGGCACATTAAATTCTCAGCTGCGTCAGTCAGTCAACAGAAGACATAAAACAATTTTATATTTACATCAACCTTCTTCACGGTTGCAACAATCATTTAATATTTATACATCATATCTTTTAAGACTATAACACATAAATAACAAGCATTCTGTGAGTATTGCATGGCAATACATAGTCCCCTACCGGTTAAAAATTCATTGTATTGGAACAAAATTCTAACTTGATCTTTAACTTGTCATGGTGTAACTATATAACAAATATCAAGTCAATAACTTCAAGCATGACAAAAAAGAGTGTTGAAAACTGATTATTTTAGTGAATTTTCTAAGTCCAAGGACGATAACTCTGCACAAATTCATCAGACCAGAACAAAATTCTAACTTGATCTGTAACTTGTCATGATAAAACTATATACTAATTTTCAAATCAATGTCTTCAACCATGACGAAAAAAAGTGCCGTAAACTGATTATTTGAGTGAATTTTCTAAGTCAAAGAACCATAACTCTGCACAAATTCATCAGACCAGAACAAAATTCTAACTTGATCTGTAACTTGTCATGATAAAACTATATACTAATTTTCAAATCAATGTCTTCAACCATGACGAAAAAAAGTGCCGTAAACTGATTATTTGAGTGAATTTTCTAAGTCAAAGAACCATAACTCTGCACAAAATCATCATACCGGAACAAAATTTGAACTTGAACTGTAACTTGTCATGATAAAACTAAACACCAAATATCAAATCAATATCTTCAAGCATGAAGAAAAAAAGTGGAAAACTGATTTGCCGGACTGACGGATGGATAGACAGACAGACAGACAGATGGGTGGAGTGCAACCCTAAAGTCCCCTTCGACTTCATCGTTAGGGGACTAATAAATAAAAGTGATGTTTCGCAATCATTGACATTGGGATCATCGCTACATTTTTTTTGTAATGGTGTTTTCTTTTACGTCCGCAATTTTGTGGAAAGTTTTGAAGCTAAAAATAGAACAGAAATCCTTAAATAGACACATGTATAAATAGTACATGGTTTGAAGAGTTATACATGATATATTTTCCTAATAGAAGAACATTCAGCAGATCTCAAAAGGATTTTCTTGGTGTTGATTCGTATGGTTGTCTCCTCAAAGGAAATTGTTATATATATGGTTAAAAAATGAACAAAAAATTATGTACCCGAGGCTGAAAGTTGCATCTCAAATATAGAATAGAACTGTTATCAATCCTAAAACTTCAAAGGTCGAGAACAAGATTCTATTGATCATGTCGATATCATACTATTCTACTATAAAAAAGATAAATATGCACACACACTTTCAGTACCCGAAGTAAAACAAAAAAACATGTGGGGATTCAGTGCTTCAATAAGAAAGCAACCAAACAACATCAGGCCACAAAAAAGGAAAAGAAAAAGACATCTGTTGATATACAAGTGTTCCTGTCATGTCTCAGCCTTCATATGATTTTTTTTTTTAAATATTTTGGTAGGCATAAAAAACATATATAAGTACATCTGTACCTACGGATTTCAACAGTAGACAAGTGTTTATGTCATGTCTCAACCTCCGTATGTTTGGTCTTCTTGGAAAATTTTTAAAAATATAAAAATATAAAAACTACCTGTGTGTTCCATTTTTCTACAATTGAAATAAGACTTGTTCTTTGGGGGAGATTTAAGAAAGAGTTAATGTTGATCTTTAATTGCTAGCCTAGTTAATAGCGAAATCGGCCAACCATATTGTTTACCCCGATTTGGAAATACCATGGAAAGATCTTCATCTTATTACAGTCCACCCTGATTTAAATGTACTACTGCCAACTCGTTCGCATGGAAATTTTTTACTAGTTTCTATAGTTCAGTCAGTAGAAAATTCATAACTCAACTTTCCTAGCTAAGGCCATAGCATTAAACAGAACGACGTGTTTATTTTGACCTAGAAACCACAGGATTCGGTAAGATGATTCGCAATTTTATATATATTTTGAATAATTATCAGTACACGAAGAACAATTATAGAGCATAATGAAGCCTGACAAAACTTTCCGGTTGATACGCTTCTCAAGAGCTTGGTCAATCTTGATTGTTTAGTTAAAAATAAGGCCTTTAGTTTTCTTGTTTGAATTGTTTCACATCTTTCATGTCAGGGCCTTTTATAGCCGACTATACGGCATGGGGTTTTTCTCGTTGTTTAAGTCCGTACGGTAGTCTATAATTGCTTATATCAGCCTCATATGAACTCTGGTGGATAGTTGTCTCATTGGCAATCACACCACATCTCCTTATTTTAATATTTATTCATGTCAACTACAGTTGCTCTCTATATGGAAGCACATTAATTCATTGTCACATGTAATAGGTTCTGAAAGGGATTAACGTTTACAGAATAAAGAATAATAGCGAAAATAAATAATGCCACTGAGAAAGTTGCAACACACTCATTCTCAGTGAAATATGTTTCACAGTCTGTCAGACAGTTGAACTCAATGAATAAGAGAATGACTTTGTTCTCTTTACCGGCGTCAGTTTTATCAAAAGGAATGGTAGGAAAAATGGCTAAATCCGGACTAGAACAATGTCACCTTACATTGGCATATGAACGTGAGGGGTCTGATGGTGTTGCCAATCTCCTCTCTGAACTTTTATTTTTTGGAAAACCCAAAGTCACAAAAGACAGAAAAAATATAGCTTCAATTACATCTTTTATTGAATCAGGACATTATGATGATTTCTTTTTTATGTTATTACTATTTTTGCGTTCATGTACATGAAATAAGTAATTAATTTATACATGTATATTTAACATATCATATTTTTTACAACTGTTATAATTTCATTTGTAATATGCATCAATAAAAGAGGGTCTGATTGGGGTTTACAGAATACAGAATAATGGGCAAAAAGTGCAGAATAAAAGGCAACAGCAATAAAAAATTGAGAAAAATAGGCATACAAATAAAAAATAGAGAATAATGGGGTGCTTAAATATAAAGAATAGGGAATACTGGTAATAAAAAATAAAGAACTAATAAATGAAGGACCCTCTTTCCAGACCCTTATAATAAAAAGAACCTACCAATAACGATATATACTTGAAGTTTAAACACAATGTCATCATGCATAATCAACACCAAGAACGTTGGAAATTCATACCATGATAACTTGACATTATGTAATAAATATGACAATGTTATGATTTTTTTTTATCTTTTATTGGCCCAAATGTTAAGGTTGCATCACTTCTACAGGGAAAATGAAGTCGGTGACAATATTTTTTTTTTCTACATCATTTAATTTGTTAGACAAAAAGGAAAAAATATTAATTAAAAAAAAAAATCTATGTACCCAGTCACAAGATCTATGCAGGAAACCGAAAAGTGTAGAAGAAAATAAGGATTTTTCCTATATATTCAATGTAATTTAGTACCCTCTAGGACCATTTTAGACAGGACTTTTTCTCGAAAACGAAGTCGGTGACATATACTTTTTTTCACATTTTTCGATGTATATTTTCAATATCCAATCGAGTACTAAATTTTAAATCAAAGCCTTAAAGGCTGTAAAAGCAATTGCTGCCATGTTAATGTTTTGGGGACTGTTTCATCCACATATATATAAGAATTAAACCTGACAGGAGTGTTTTCTAGTGAGAAGTAAGAAGGTTTTAACTTTATATCAATAAAAGACTTTAGCAGAAAGTCATTTTTGATATGTTTTATATTTCACAAGGAGACAACACGTTTACCAGGCTAAAGTTGGGGTCAAATTTACATGTGCTGAAACATATAATACAAAAAGAAATTATCCCCTGGTAGTGTTTGTAACTGGGCAATAATTTCCTTTATTGATTTAATTTTAACAATTATCATAATTAATTTAAATTTAACCATTCAATTAAAACATTTCAACTTTCCAGACGCAAATGTTGAAAAACGGGAAAGAAATAAAATATCTTACAAGACATAAACATGTAAAAAATAAATATATATTTCAGCTTATTAAAAATATTTTCATAATGTTACTTTGTCTTCATTTCTTAAAAACTAAGTCCCAAACATTATTGCTCAGTTAATATGTGTCATCCTCAAGCGGTACGAGATAACTATAATTCTCATGCAATCCCAAAAAGGCGGTCAACACAGACAAACATGACATTAAATCGTCATTATACGAACAAGAACAAACAGCTCTTCGTTGCTTTGATATTTATCAATTTTCAGGAAACATTGCGAAAAATGATCTTCAATATTTCGAAAACATGTGAAATAAAATTGCAAACACGGTGGACCGTTGAGTGTCAACACACGTAGTAGACTCGTCCACTGGAAAGACGAGGATAATGGTTTCATCATTTGTCATGCATACCCAGTTTTGATTATGATATCCAAAAGGACGTACTTTCTTTCAATCTATGAAACTAGAAAATTCCAAATTGTAAATATCTCTTCATCTGGACTTGGCATCTATCACGTTTTGACGGGTCCATTTCATTAGTAAGGTGATCGATAAATCTTAAGGAGTTATGACAAAAAAGGAAAACAAACTTATTGTTTGTGTTTTTAACAAGGGTTTCGTTCCGTTAAATTATTTGCGCAAACAAATCAACAAAATAGGTCAGTTAAGTCTGTCTATTTTTAGATTACAGGTAATCATTTGACACTACGTATAACCTGTGTAGTGATTTTGATTTTACGATAAATTTATGAATGAACGATAATTTTATGAATGAACAAGAGCACCTGGCCTCTTTCTTAGAGAAACACCAATTAAACATATAAAACCGTATTTAATAAGAGATAATTCAGTAAAATTTTCAATGCTAAATCAACAACTGAAATGATTCGATATTTTGTTGAAACATCGTACGAAAGGAGAACGGAATCGCAGGTATAAAAATGCACTTTTTTTCACTCAGACTTCTATGTTTTTTGATAGTCAAACGGTTGTCCTCCTAAATACAAAAATTCATCTACAAGAACATATGCTGAAACCTCTTAAATCGACTAACGTTTTTCAAAAGTTTCAAGCTATGTATTGCATTAGAAAACATACATAGTTGTTTAAGAATGACAGACCAGGAGCCTGTTTAACAAAATACTATGGCTTGATCTGGGCGGAGTCTCTGATTTGCGTCACAAAGATGGCCATACGCGATGGCATAAAAGCAATTGCTTTAAAAAATCTATGTACTAATCATTAACTGATCCTTGACCTTAACTCAGGAACGGTGAAAATGACGCCACACATATTCAAACCTGATCTGTGTTTGGTGGTAATGAGCATTGTGTATAAGTTTCCTAACATTTGGATGAGGCAAACTAAAGTTAGAGTGCGGAAATGGCAAATTTAGCAATTTTTCATATATAAAAGGACATACAATCGAACCTCGTGTCGAAAACTCGGTCGAGTCAAAGTAATTTCTTGGTCCCTGTAAAATTCCTGTTTGATCAATGCATTTTTATCCTTGATGAGTCGAACTCGGTTGGTTTGAGTACTCAGTTAAGTCGAGTAAATTTTAAAGTTCTATGTAAAATTAATGTAAATTGACCCCGATGTCTCGAAGTTCGAAAAAAAGAAATTTTGAAAGATGCATACTTAATAATAACAATTAAAATCAGATGTATTTCTTATGTTAACTTATTGTTTTCAAAAGAGATTAAAGCTGTGTAACAGTTATAATGACATGTTTATGGTGACCACTAATAAACGCCTTCGTTGGTCATCCAAGCGGAACTTTAGTTGTTGAACATATTTCACCCGACGTAAAAATGAAAAGAATGTATATGACCAAATCCGAGATTAAGCGAAAGTTAGAATAAAAATTCATCAATTACAATAAATAAAAGGATAAAGACAATTATGATAAATTGATAATAATTGAATGACCTTCATCAGATATTTTTACGTTCCATCGTGATTTCATAATTTATAGTGACTGACCTTTGTAAATATTTGTGTATTGATCTTTTTTGTGAATGTAAATTATCTGTTCTTGTGGATTAATTATTATGAGGGACCAAAAAATACGGAGATTGAATACACAATAATAGAGTGTCAAATCTCATATCATTTTTAATGCATTCAAAATTTATGACGACACACTCGACCTCGGATGAGTCGAACCTCGGATAAGTCTAATATTCCTGTCCGGTCTCTTCAACTTCGATATAACAAGGTTCGACTATATCTCAAGAACAGTAAAAGTGATGCCACCCAAATTCAAACTTGATCTGTTTTTAGTGGTAATAAGCATTGTGTATTATTTTCATAACATTTGGTTGAGGCAAACTAAAGTTAGAGAATGGAAACTAAGTTTAGAATGTACGGAGGGCCGGATGTACAGACTGACAAGGGTTAAACTTAATGCCCCAGCTGTGGCAGGTATAAAAAAATAACTTGCTATATCTCTATACACAATTTGGTTAAAGTTCCATTTCAAAGAAAGTTGCACAATAGAAATTTACTGTGGTCAGTTTTAAGGAAAAGCATAACACTTAGATACCCTACATACTCTTGCTCATAAGACATCTCATCATTGATAAGACATACCTTTGAATTCTGACTGGACTATTTTCCCTAGAACGTCTAGAAAGTCCTGTTGATTTTGTTGTCTTATCTTGTTTTATTGGAATATCTAGTTCATTTGTCCCAGACAAACTGTGAAGGAAATGTTCTTTATCTGGAAAGGGATAACATTATGTTTATATCAATACCAGTACCATCATAAGTCTTTGCAACTGTCTTATATTACTATAACAAGTCACAGATTTTCTTAAAACACTTTTCTTTATCCACAATCAGTAACGAATAAGCCACAAATGTATATATTTTACAGTAGAATTTTTATGATAAAAGTCATTGTATTATTCCGGTCTAATAATAAAGTCTTACTCTAATGAGCTGATTCTCTTTATACGTAAATCTAAATTCAAAGGTAATTCTACATGTTACACTGTATCAGAATTATCAATAGTAGGTCAATAATCCAAAAGGAAATAAGTTTCAAAGTTTAGTTTTTTGGCAATCCACTTTTTCTGTTTGAAAGTTTATATTATCTAATTTGTCATGAAATAAATAAAATATTTTAATAATTATGAATAAAATGCTTCGCTGGGGCGCAGCTTGATACGACCGCAGAGGTCGAACCCTGAACAGTTGGGGCAAGTATGGACACAACATTCAAGCTTGATACAGCTCTGAATTTGGATTGTTATTAAATATTTGACACAGCATAGGTTTCTGACACAGAAAGAATGTGGTCTAAGAACTTGAATTTTTTTAATTTACCTGGTTAGATTCAGCATATCAAAGAACCCCATATATTCAATTTTTGTTAAAATCAAACAAAATTTAATTTTGGACCCCAACTTGGACAAACTTGAAAACTGGGCCCATAATCAAAAATCTAAACACATGTTTAGATTCAGCATATCAAAGAACCCCAAGAATTCAATTTTTGCTAAAATCAAACTAAGTTTAATTTTGGACCCTTTGGACCTTAATGTAGACCAATTTAAAAAACGGGACTTAAAATTAAAAATCTAAATACACGGTTAGATTTGGAATATCAAAGAACCCCAATAATTCAATTTTTGATGAAATCAAACAAAGTTTAATTTTGGACCCTTTTGACCTCAATATGAACCAATTTGATAGCGGGGCCCACAAATAAAAAATCTAAATTCATGGTTAGATTCAGCATATCAAAGAACCCCATATATTCAATTTTTGTTGAAATCAAAAAAAGTTTAATTTTGGACCCCAACTTGGACCAACTTGAAAACTGGGCCCATAATCAAAAATCTAAACACATGTTTAGATTCAGCATATCAAAGAACCCCAAGAATTCAATTTTTGTTAAAATCAAACTAAGTTTAATTTTGGACCCTTTGGACCTCAATGAAGACCAATTTAAAAAACGGAACCCAAATTAAAAATCTAAAAACACGGTTAGATTTGGCATATCAAAGAACCCCAATAATTCAATTTTCGATGAAATCAAACAAAGTTTAATTTTGGACCCTTTTGACCTCAATATGAACCAATTTGATAGCGGGGCCTACAAATAAAAAATCTAAATACATGGTTAGATTCAGCATATCAAAGAACCTCATATATTCAATTTTTGTTGAAATCAAACAAAGTTTAATTTTGGACCCCAATTTGAACCAACTTGAAAACTGGGCCCATAATCAAAAATCTAAATACATGTTTAGATTCAGCATATCAAAGAACCCCATATATTCAATTTTTGTTGAAATCAAACAAAGTTTAAATACTGGACCCTATCTTGGACCAACTTGAAAACTGGGCCCATAATCAAAAATCTAAACACAAGTTTAGATTCAGCAAATCAAAGAACCCCAAGAATTAATTTTTTGTCAAAATCAAACTAAGTTTAATTTTGGACCCTTTGGACCTCAATGTAGACCAATTTAAAAAACAGGACCCAAAATTAAAAACCTAAATACACGGTTAGATTTGGAATATCAAAGAACCCCAATAATTCAATTTTAGATGAAATCAAACAAAGTTTAATTTTGGACCCTTTTGACCTCAATATGAACCAATTTGATAACGGGGTCCACAAATAAAAAATCTAAATACATGGTTAGATTCAGCATATCAAAGAACCCCATATATTCAATTTTTGTTGAAATCAAACAAAGTTTAATTTTGGACCCCAATTTGGACCAACTTGAAAACTGGGCCAAAAATCAAAAATCTAACTACATGTTTAGATTCAGCATATCAAAGAACCTCATATATTCAATTTTTGCTAAAATCAAACAAAGTTTAATTTTGGACCCTTTGGACATTAATGTAGACCAATTTGAAAACTGGACCTAAAATTAAAAATCTAAATACACTGTTAGATTTGGCATAACAAATAAATAAATGTGATCAAAGATTTTACAAATCTAATGCGCCATACTGTGCAATTAAAGATTACTTCTTGAAATTTTTCAATATTTGAAATTTGAAAAAAAAATAATATTTGAAGAATAATTCTTTTTAATTTCTGAAATCTGAAATGAGAAAAAATTGGCCCCCCACAATTTCTTTTTATCCCCCCCCCCCCTTTTTCCCCCCAAAAAATTCTTTCCCTCAAGATATGGTCATAATCTCAATTCAAATTTCCAATGGAGTTGGCAACCATAATTACCCATTTAAATTTACCATAGTGCTAACTTAATCTATTTTATAATAGAATTAATAAAAATATAGTGTCAAATCTTTCATATGGATTTTTTTGTAAAAAAAAAAGCTGAAAACATTTGCAGATATTTTTACTGGTCTTCCTTTATAAATATGCATTTCTTTAAACATAATTTAAAAGCAGTGTAAGGGAAGTAACCAAAAAGTTGTATTTGGATTACCTCCCTTACACTGTTTAAGATTATCTTTATTGTTCATTAACCATTACTTTATACATAATTTAAAAGCAGTGTAAGGGAGATAATTTCAATGATGTATTTGATTTATCTCCCTTACACTGCTTTAAATTATGTTTTGTACTAAAGTATTTGTCCATTAACCAGGACAACCTTGTTTTCCCCCTTTTTTGCCCGTAATTCCTAAACGGTTTGAGCCATAACCCCCCAAAGCAAATCCTAACCATCCCTTTGTGGTATGGAAACTTGTAGTATAATTTCAGAGAGATCCATACACCGTTCCACAGTTATTGTCTGGAAACTAGAAAATGCTCATTTTTGGCCCCTTTTTGGACCCTAATTCCTTAACTGTTGATACCATAACCCCCAAAATCAATCCCAACCTTCCTTTTGTGGTATTTAACCTTATGGTCAAATTTCAAAAAGATCCATTCACTTAAACTAAAGTTAGAGTGCGAAAACCAATATGTATTCGGACGACGACGCTGGACGACGACGACGACGACGACGACGACGCCAACGTCATACCAATATACGACCACAAAATTTTTTTGCGGTCGTATAAAAACAAGAATGTGTCCATAGTACACGGATGCCCCACTCGCACTATCATTTTCTATGTTCAGTGGACCGTGAAATTGGGGTCAAAACTCTAATTTGGCATTAAAATTAGCAAGATCATATCATAGGGAACATGTGTACTAAGATTCAAGTTGATTGGACTTCAATTTCATCAAAAACTAACTTGACCAAAAACTTTAACTTGAAGCGGGACAGAGGGAGGGACGAACGAACAGACGCAGAGACCGAAAAACATAATGCCCCATAGGTGGGGCATAAAAATATGGACACATCTTTAGTTTTGATTTTGCGAAGAAAATGGTTACGCCTGTCAATATAATTTTACTGAATGTAATATTAATTGGCTGAATTTTGCTGACAGCGGTTAACTTTAGACTCAAAATAATAGACCCAAAGCCCTTAATATTTAAACCAAACATCATTTTATTGACTGCAAATATATATTTTGCAAGTTAGAGCTCTCCCTTGTAAAGTTATCTGCTTCTAACCTTGACCAGACAATGGACAGCCTGGTACAACAGCCCTTTGCATTAAGACATATAATGCTGTACTGACAACTTTCTGTTGGCCAAGATCTGAGGCATCTTTTCCACTGTTCTTTATCACAGCTTCTTTTACAACTGGGGATATTACATTATTCCACATTGTTGCCATCCAACTGTAACAAAAAAATACATGGTGTCTAAAGTTTTTTCCAACCAAAAGACAGAACTGGGATATAGAAATACATCCATTTGTCAATCTAGTCTTCTACGTCCTATCCATCTCAATTTCTTGTCAGATCTTTATGAAATTAATATGACAGGTATATATCAGTAATGTCTCAGAATATTTAAAACTGCACCAAACAACTATTTTTAAGGGAGTTATGCCCCTTAAAATTGTAAATCATAAAGAAATTTGCATTTACAGTACTTTCAAGCCTTCATTTCTTGTCGGATTTTTATGAAATTTAAATCAAAGATTTATATCACAGTGTTCCAGCTAGGATTTCAAAAGGGCACTTTAGCACGCTCATTGATAATTCAAAAAGGGCATGTCAAACATGGAAACCGCAGGGGTTTCAGAGAGGAGATTGATGGCTTTAGTCACGTTTATGCAAGATGAAAATCAACCTTATTTTGGGTAACAGTAAGGGACCATGGACTATATTAGTAGCTAGACATATGCCCAAGTCCTTCAAGGACCAGGATCTTTTGAGGCCTGCAGGCATGCTACAAATGTAGGCAGTTATTGCATGATTTGACTCATATGATGCTTAAATATGAAGATTAAAACAAGGATCCAGAAATCTAGTTCACAATTTCACTTCAGTTATTTTCAGGGGACGTTCCTGATCAACAAAAGTTGGGTTCCTTTTTTTAAAACCAGGAATCACAGCATCAATGAAATTGTAACGACTGTTTCACTGCATAATCATTATCCCTTTAAAAACATTTAAATTGATATTTGGAATTCATTTTTATAAACTTGGAACGATTAAAATGTATGTATACATTAAATTTATGAAGAATAGATCACGTTTACTTACGATTTTCGAGCGAAATGAAAACGGGAAGTGACAAGAGGATAATATATTTAGAATGAATCCGGATTCATCTGCGGATTGATTTGTGTTAAACAAAAAGGCAGGAAATTATCATTTTTTAAATTAAGTTGCTCAGTAAGAAATATTCTTGTCTATCTCGTTTAATATGACACTAAATGATTTCGTATTTTACGTTTTAGTTAGTGTCTATTAAATTTATAAGAATGTGTTTACGCATGCGCAGTACATGATAGAGAAAATATTTTTGAACGTTTTGAATAAAGTTTTTTTCTTTACAATCCAAATACGAAGATACGTTCATATGACGAAACTACGCCAACCGAGCTGCAAATAGTGATGGTTTGAAAAATTTTGAATTAAAAAGCGAAATGCACGGGGGAAAACAATTTCGTTCAACTGACGAAACTACAAAAACGTTTATGGATAAACGAACTGCAAATTGTGGTCTTTTGAGAAATATTGAAATTGAAATGCCAACTGATCGATTTTACTGGGAAAATAATTATAATGGTCAATTATGAGGTTTATTAGTTAATGGATTAGTGACCCATCCGATGGCGATAAGCGGATTACCTGTAATCACAACTTATAACACCTGCTGTAAATGTTAATTAGCTGAGGGTCATAAACTTGTCAGAAACATGAATACAGGTAGAATTATAGTATTTTCATCAAAGTAATACGACAATAAAGGCATGGACTTGCGAGAAACAGCAGGGCGTTTTAAAAAGGGCACAGGGCATCAGTCAGGAAAGGGCGGGCGGACCGCCCTGTGAAAACAATCAAGCTGGAACACTGTATCAGCAATTTCTTGATTCCATGGAACAAATTAGAAAATTAGTGACCAGCAACTATTTTTACAGGAGTTATTTCCCTTGGATGGTAAAATATGTATGAAATTGCATTGCAAGTGCTCCCATGCCAAAATATCTTGTCAAATTTTATGACCAAGTTAAAAAACTGTGCCATCCAAATATTTTTACAGGAGCTATGATCCTTGGAAATAGAAATCATATAGAAAATTGTATTGCAAGTGCTTGTCAAATTTTTAATAAAAAAGTTTTAAAGAAATAAATGTGGATAGTGTCCACATGTGGACACAGATGATGCCCCCACTTGCATATCATATAGTTATAAAGGGACATAACTGAAGAACGGTAAAGTGACGCTACCCAAATTTGAACTTGATTTGAGTTTTGTGGTAATAAGCATTGTGTGTAAGTCTCATAACATTTGGTTGAGGCTAACTTAAGTAGAGAACAGAAACTTAAAATTCAGCATTTTTTCTCTTTGGAAACACGCATAACTCTAGAATGGTTGCGTATAAGTTTTATAACATTTGGTTGAGACAAACTAAAGTTAGAGAACGGAAACGAATAATTCAGCAATTTTTATGTTTATAAAGGGACATAACTCAAGAATGGTAAAAGTGTTGCCACCAAATTTCGTACTTAATCTGTATTATGTAGTAATAAGCATTGTGTATAAGTTTCATAACATTTGGTTGAGGCAAACTAAAGTTAGAAAATGGAAACAAAAAATTTGTACTTGATCTTAGTTTTGTGGTAATGAATATTGTGTATAGGTTTCATAATGTTTGGTTGGGGCAAAATTAAGTTACAGAATGGAAATTAAAAATTTTGCAATCTTTTGATTTATAAAGGGGCATAACTCAATAATGGTTAAAGTGACACTACCCAAATTCAACTTGATCTGTGTTTTATCAGTGGAAGTCAAAATTAAACATTACATTGTATAAAGCATTGATTGTAGTTGATTCAACTATAATCATGGACAAAGGAAGAAAACTCCAATTTTTGTAAAAAAATAATTGGTATTTAGAAGAAAATAAAAATTTTGCAATTTTTCCATTTATAAAGGGGCATAACTCTAGAACTGTTAAAGTGACGCCACCAAAATTCACACCTGATCTGTGTTTTGTAATAATAAGCATTGTGTATAAGTTTCATAACATTTGGTTGAGGCAAACTTAAGTTAGAGAACGGAAACTAAAAATTTTGCAATTTTTCCATTTATATAGGGGCATAACTCAAGAATGGTTTAAGTGACGCCACCAAAATTCAAACTTGATCTGAGTTTTGTGGTAATAAGCATTGTGTATAAGTTTCATAACATTTGGTTGAGGCAAACTTAAGTTAGAGAACGGAAACGAAAAATTCAGCAATTTTTCCATTTGTAAAGGGGCATAACTCCAGAACGGTAAAAGTAACGCCACCAAAATTCAACTTGATCTGTGTTTTATCAGTGGAAGTCAAAATTAAACATTGCATTGTATAAAGCATTGATTGTAGTTGATTCAACTATAATCATGGACAAAGGAAGATAACTACAATTTTAATAAAATGCTTCGCTGGGCGCAGCTTGATACGACAGCAGAGGTTGAACCCTGAACAGTTGGGGCAAGTATGGACACAACATTCAAGCTTGATACAGCTCTGAATTTGGATTGTGATTAAATATTTGACACAGCTTAGGTTTCTGACACAGAAAGAATGTGGTCTAAGTACTTCAATTTTTTTAATTTACCTATTATGGTCCAATGTCCAAAATCAAAATACATGGTTAGATTCAGCATATCAAAGAACCCCATATATTCAATTTTTGTTGAAATCAAACAAAGTTTAATTTTGGACCCCAATTTGGACCAACTTGAAAACTGGGCCCATAATCAAAAATCTAAATTAGATTCAGCATATCAAAGTACCCCAAAAATTCAATTTTTGTTAAAATCAAACTAAGTTTAATTTTGGACCCTTTGGACCTTAATGTAGACCAATTTAAAAAACGGGACCCAAAATTAAACATCTAATAAAATGCTCCGCAGGGCGCAGCTTGATACGACCGCAGAGGTCGAACCCTGAACAGTTGGGGGAAGTATGGACACAACATTCAAGCTTGATACAGCTTTGGATTTGGATTGTGATTAAATATTTGACACAGCATAGGTTTCTAACACAGATTGAATGTGGTCTAAGAACTTAAAAATTTTAAATTGGACATTCACCTATTATGGTCCAATATCCAAAATCTAAATACATGGTTAGATTCAGCATATCAAAGAACCCCAAGAATTCAATTTTTGATGAAATCAAACAAAGTTTAATTTTGGACCCTTTTGACCTCAATGTGGACAAAGTTGATAACGGGGCCCAAAAATCAAAAATCTAAATACATGGTTAGATTCAGCATATCAAAGAACCCCATATATTCAATTTTTGTTGAAATCAAACAAAGTTTAATTTTGGACCCCAATTTGGACCAACTTGAAAACTGGGCCCAAAATCAAAAATCTAAATACATGTTTAGATTCAGCTTTTCAAAGAACCCTAAGAATTCAATTTTTGTTAAAATCAAACTAAGTTTAATTTTGGACCCTTTGGACCTTAATGTAGACCAATTTGAAAACGGAACCAAAAATTAAGAATCTAAATACACAGTTAGATTCGGCATATCAAAGAACCCCAATAATTCAATTTTTGATGAAATCAAACAAAGTTTAATTTTGGACCCTTTTGACCTCAATGTGGACAAAGTTGATAACGGGGCCCAAAAATCAAAAATCTAAATACATGGTTAGATTCAGCATATCAAAGAACCCCATATATTCAATTTTTGTTGAAATCAAACAAAGTTTAATTTTGGACCCCAATTTGGACCAACTTGAAAACTGGGCCCATAATCAAAAATCTAAATACATGTTTAGATTCAGCATATCAAAGAACCCTAAGAAATTCAATTTTTGTTAAAATCAAACTAAGTTTAATTTTGGACCCTTTGGACCTTAATGTAGACCAATTTGAAAACGGAACCAAAATTTAAGAATCTAAATACACAGTTAGATTCGGCATATCAAAGAACCCCAATAATTCAATTTTTGATGAAATCAAACAAAGTTTAATTTTGGACCCTTTGGACCTCAATGTGGACCAATTTAAAAACGGGGCCCAAAATCCAAAAACTAAATACACGGTTAGATTCAGCATATTAAAGAACCCCATGAAATCAAGAATAAAACCCCATTGAAATTGGTCAAGAAATAAGCAATTTATAGGAAGTATCTTCTTTTGCACAATCCTGTGCTATCAAATATTTCTTGCTATTGCGCAATACTGTACAATTGACAATTTCTTGCTATTGCGCAATATTGTGCTATTGGATATTTCTTGCTATTGCGCAATACTGTGCAATTGAAGATTTCTTGCTATTGCGCAATACTGTGCAATTGAAGATTTCTTGCTATTGTGCAATACTGTGCAATTGAAAATTTCTTGCTATTGCACAATACTTATTATATAATAATTTACACATCCTGTTTGGTGTGTATCTCCTACCATATCATTATTATTTGATTTTAAATATAAATCAGAAATAACCAACTTAAAATGGAAAATTTTAAAAGAAACAAAAAAGGAAAAAAAGAAAAAAAAGGAAAAAAAAAATAAATCCCCCCCCAAAATTTTTTGAACCCCCATTATGATTCATCACCCCCAAACTCAATCCCAGCCTTCCCTTTGTGGTATGGTACCTTGCAGTACAATTTCAGAGAGATCCATACACTTGAACACAAGTTATTGTCTGGAAACTAGAAAAAAATGTGTTTTTTGGCCCCTTTTTGGCCCCAAATTCCTAAACGTTTAGGGCAATTACCCCCAAACTCAAACCCAGCTTTCCCTTTGTGATATGGAACCTTGTAGTACAATTTCAGAAAGATCCATACACTTACACACAAGTTATTGTCATGAAACTAGAAAATGCTTGTTTTTTGCCCCTTTTTTGGCCCCTAATTCCTAAAATTTGGAGGCAATTACCCCCAAAATCAATCCCAGCATTCCTTTAGTGATATGGAACCTTGTGGTACAATGTCAGAGAGATCCATACACTAACACACAAGTTATGTCTGGAAGTTACAAAAATGCTTATTTTTGGCCCCTTTTTGGCCCCTAATTCCTTTACTGTTATTACCATAACCCCCAAAATCAATCCCAAACTTCCTTTTGTGGTATTGAACCTTGTAGTAAAATTTCATAAAGATCCATTCACTTAAACTAAAGTTAGAGTGCGAAAACCAATGTGTCTTCGGACGACGCCGACGACGACGACGCCAACGTCATACCAATATACGACCACAAAAATTTGTTTGCGGTCGTATAAAAACACGGTTAGATTTGGCATATCAAAAAACCCCAATAATTCAATTTTTGATGAAATCAAGCAAAGTTCAATTTTGGACCCTTTTGAGCTCAATATGAACCAATTTGATAGCGGGCCCACAAATAAAAAATCTAAATACATGGTAAGATTCAGCATATCAAAGAACCCCATATATTCAATTTTTGTTGAAATCAAACAAAGTTTAATTTTGGAACCCAATTTGGACCAACTTGAAAACTGGGCCAAAAATCAAAAATCTAAATACATGTTTAGATTCAGCATATCAAAGAACCCCATATATTCAATTTTTGTTGAAATCAAACAAAGTTTAATTTTGGACCCCAACTTGGACCAACTTGTAAACTGGGCCCATAATCAAAAATCTAAACAGATGTTTAGATTCAGCATATCAAAGAACCCCAAGAATTCAATTTTTGTTAAAATCAAACTAAGTTTAATTTAGGACCCTTTGGACCTAAAGTAGACCAATTTAAAAAATGGGACCCAAAATTAAAAATCTAAATACACGGTTAGATTTGGCATATCAAAGAACCCCAATAATTCAATTTTTGATGAAATCAAACAAAGTTTAATTTTGGACCCTTTTGACCTCAATATGAACCAATTTGATAGCGGGGTCCACAAATAAAAAATCTAAATACATGGTTAGATTCAGCATATCAAAGAACCCCATATATTCAAATTTTGTTGAAATCAAACAAAGTTTAATTTTGGACCCCAATTTGGACCAACTTGAAAACTGGGCCAAAAATCAAATATCTTAATACATGTTTAGATTCAGCATATCAAAGAACCCCATATATTCAATTTTTGTTAAAATCAAACAAAGTTTAATTTTGGACCCTTTGGACCTTAATGTAGACCAATTTGAAAACTGGACCTAAAATTAAAAATCTAAATACATGGTTAGATTCGGCATAACAAATAAATAAATGTGGTCAAAGATTTTACAAATCTAATGCGCCATACTGTGCAATTAAAGATTACTTCTTGAAATTTTTCAATATTTGAAATTTGAAAAAAAAATAATATTTGAAGAATAATTCTTTTTAATTTCTGAAATCTGAAATGAGAAAAAATTGACCCCCCCCCCCCTTTTTTCCCCCAAAAAATTCGTTCCCTCAAGATATGGTCATAATCTCAATTCAAATTTCCAATGGAGTTTGCAACCATAATTACCCATTTAAATTTACCATAGTGCTTACTTAATCTATTTTATAATAGAATTTAAAATATAGTGTCAATTCTTTCATATGGAATTTTTTGTAAAAAAAAAAATGCAACATTTGCAGATATTTTTACTGGTCTTCCTTTATAAATATGCATTTCTTTAAACATAATTTAAAAGCAGTGTAAGGGAAGTAACCAAAACGTTGTATTTGGATTACCTCCCTTACACTGTTTTAAATTATCTTAATTGTTCATTAACCATTACTTTATACATAATTTAAAAGCAGTGTAAGGGAGATAATTTCAATGATGTATTTGATTTATCTCCCTTACACTGCTTTAAATTATGTTTTGTACTAAAGTATTTGTCCATTAACCAGGACAACCTTGTTTTTCCCCCTTTTTTGCCCCTAATTCTTAAACGGTTTGAGCAATAACCCCCCAAAGCAAATCCTAACCATCCCTTTGTGGTATGGAAACTTGTAGTATAATTTCAGAGAGATCCATACACCGTTCCACAGTTATTGTCTGGAAACTAGAAAATGCTTATTTTTGGCCCCTTTTTGGCCCCTAATTCCTTAACTGTTGGTACCATAACCCCCAAAATCAATCCCCACCTTCCTTTTGTGGTATTGAACCTTATGGTAAAATTTCATAGAGATCCATTCACTTAAACTAATGTTAGAGTGCGAAAACTAATGCGTCTTCGGACGACGACGACGCCAACGTCATACCAATATATGACCACAAAATTTTTTTTGCGGTCGTATAAAAATTACTCGATATTTAGAAGAAAATAAAATTTTTGCAATTTTTCCATTTATAAAGGGGCATAACTCTAGAACGATTAAAGTGACGCCACCAAAATTCATACTTGATCTGTGTTTTGTGGTAATAAGCATTGTGTATAAGTTTTATAACATTTGGTTGAGGCAAACTAAAATTAGAGAATGGAAACGAAAAATTCAGCAATTTTTCCATTTGTAAAGGGGCATGCATAGCTCTAGAACTGTTAAAGTGACGCCACCAAAATTCAAACTTGATCTGTGTTTTGTGGTAATAAGCATTGTGTATAAGTTTCATAACATTTGGTTGAGGCAAACTAAAGTTAGAGAATGGAAACGATAAATTCAGCAATTTTTCCATTTGTAAAGGGACATAACTCCAGAACGGTAAAAGTGACGCCACCAAAATTCAAACTTGACCTGTGTTTTGTGGTAATAAGCATTGTGTATAAGTTTCATAACATTTGGTTGAGGCAAACTAAAGTTAGAACACAGAAACCAATTTTGGGACGTACATACGTACGTTCGTTTGTATGTAAGTACGTACAGACGGACAAGGGTAAAACTTAATGCCCCCTACGCTACGGCAGGGGCATAAATATTAGAGTTATTGGCCTTGGACAGGTAATATATGAAGGAATTGGAGCTCTGTGAAAAATACCACAAAATATAGATATAATTTATATTGTAAATGAGTAAAGACCTGGAGACAGTCAAGTATAACAAACTAGTTTGGTTAAATTTGTCTCATTAGTTTCAGAGAAGAAGATTTTTGTAAAAGATTACAAAAATTTACGAAAAATTGTTAAAAATTGACTTTAAAGGGCAATAACTCCTTAAGGGGTCAATTGACAATGTTGGTCATGTTTGACTTATTTGTAGATTTTACTTTGCTGAACATTATTGCTGTTTACAGTTTATCTTTATCTATAATAATATTCAAGATAATAACAAAAAACTGAAAATTTCCTTAAAATTACTAATTCAGGGGCAGCAACCCAACAATGAGTTGTCTGATTTGTCTGAAAATTTCAGGGCAGATAGATCTTAACCTGATGAACATTTTTATCCATTGTCTTATTTGCTATTAATGCTTTAGTTTCAGAGATATAAGCCAAAAACTGCATTTTACCCCCTATGTTCTATTTTTTGCCATGGTGGCCATGTTTTTTGAAGAAACAGAAAATAAAATACAAACTTTATTCTAGATACCCTAAGGATCATTCAGCTTAAGTTTGGTTGCGGACGGACGACAACGGATGCCAAGTGTTGGCAAAAGCTCACAGTTCCTATTTTTAGCCATGTCAGCCATGTTGGTTGGCAGGCGGGGTCATCGGACACATTTTTTAAACTAGATACCCCAATGATAATTGTGGCCAAGTTTGGTTAACTTTAGCCAAGTAGTTTCAGAGGAGAAGATTTTTGTAAAAGTTAACGACGACAAGTGATGAGAAAAGCTCACTTGGCCTTTGAGGCCAGGTGAGCTAAATAGGTCACAGTAACTTATATGTGACAGGAACTGGTACCTATTACACATCAGTATGCAAATCTTGATAACATATGAGTGTTGAAGGAAGAAAACCAGTAAATGGAACTAACTTTTGTCAGATTATTCATTATTCAGTATATGAACCCATCTTTAGACTTACCTTTGAATACTTTGTGGATCATTAGTTTCCAGGGGACACGATAAAAACTGGTAAGGACCAAACACCACATCTGGTAAACCAAGTTTTCCTAGTCCATCATTCAATCTCTGCCACACACAAACAACCCATTCCACAGCTCGAAATATTGTACTGTCTGAAGATGGCAACTGGCCCTTGTTTATATGGATAAATCTTCTAAGTAGATGTCTGGCTAACAAGTTACGTATGGGTTCAATGTCAATACGTAGATGCACCCATCGAAATCTTTGTTGTATACCAAAGTCTAACCCAATAGACCTGAAAAGATTTCAATATATGTTAAAAAATATATCCAATAATAAATATTGGAATGTATAGATCTGTGTCTTTTATAAAAGTCAGCATTTTGAGAAGATGAATTATCATTTTGAGTTTAAAGTCAAAAATTATTATCAAATTAGACAACATACCTTGATTTATTCATAGTTCCAAGTATGTATAAATTATCTACAAAGAAATAGAGATCTTCACCACCCTCATCTGTAGCACCTGTAAAATTTAATTAGAGCTTTGTTTTTCTGGTTACAATCGAAACAATATGACAGATTATAATTTTTTTTCAAATGTTCAATCCTAGTTAAAAGGAGTAAGTTCATGAAGGGTGGTTATTAGCCCTATAATTCTGTGAAATTCAAATCAATTAATAATAGGAAACATCTGATGACAAATACAAAAGCAATAACTTCTGATGCATTAAAACACTTAAAATGTCATTTTGACATCATACTTGGGCACTCTTAGAGAAAATCATAATTTTTGACAAACTGTTTGGCTAAATTTTAATAGTTTTTACTACAAACAAAATTGGTTACATGAAAGAACCACAATAATTTCATGTTAAGATGTGTATCTGATCAATATACATCATTGTATAACAAATTCATTTTGGTCGAAGGGCGTGGCCAATGATTTTCAGAAGAATTATCTAATAAACCTTACAATGCATAATGAGGGCAATCTGGCTAAAATCCTGTAGAATATCATACTCTTAAAGCGGTCAAAATGGTAAAAATTAACAGCATGGAGAGAAAAAGGGTATAGGTTATCTAAATTCTGCATATTAAAGATCATAATTATAGATTTTTGCATATGGCATTACAAAATTCCATTTGTTGGGCCAAATCAATGCCTTTGTGGTCCTACTCCTTTATCAATAGCTGTCTAGGAAAATGACATGTTTTTAAACCAAAATTACCTAGATGAAATTCAGACGTTATTTTTGTAAAACAATTCCTGCATGTTGATGGAAGCACTTTTCCAAATTTATAAATTTTTCATTTGCAACATTTTTAAATACCATACATTCAGAAATTAGTTTTTTGTCATAAATGAGAAAGCTTTGAACATTAAATTCTACTTTGGTTCAAGTTACTTTATACTTTCAATAAAATTACTATCATTCTACTAAAACTACAAAATGGTGTATTTAATCGTGATTACCATGAAGAGTGAAAGAATGAAACTGTCCTCTATGTTCCACGGCATTCAGTAAAGGGCCAAACAACTCAGCAATGTTTATATTATCTAAATTATCTAGAATCAAAATTGGTGCTCTGCAATCAGCTTCTTCATTGTCTTCTTTTACCATACAACCTACAAAACCAAATATATGATATTTGAAATAAGATGGATTGCTACAATATTCTGCTGTCAAGAATGATACTGGACTCATACTAGTGGATGATTTAAACAAATATGTCATCTTCCCAATCCCTGTTCCCTTATGATTCTGAAGTCATGTAAGCCCTGTGATAGGTATTCAACTTCATATTTCTTTAGTGGATTAATTCTAAACTTATTATTGTTAATATGTTTTGCGAGGTCCATGATTTTACCGGTAATGTTTGTAAATTTAAAATCAACCTCTACATTTGAGGAAACAATTTAGAATGCATATTATGCCTGTATTATATATCAATTTTTGATAACATCCTACCACAATAAGATGCTTCTCAAAAATTGTCATTTTTGAACAATAAGTCAGTTTTAAACATTTTGTCAATCATTTTGAAATAACTAGTACACCTATATATCAGTTTTTGTTAAAATCCTATAATACATGTTCACATGAAGCCAGATAGCAAATTTCAGGAAGCTCTTATTTGTAGTGTGGTAGAAAAACGGGACGATTGTTTCAAACATGGCCAGTATGTGTTAGAATAATACATAAATAATTGGTAAACAGGAAGTTGATGAAGGACGATTCTGAAACTGTGTCAGACGGTAAAGCATGCTGACATGCAGCATGATAACAAATTTCAGGAAAGCTTTAATTTGTAGTTTCCCACAAAATGAATAGAAAAATTTCATACATGGCCATTATGTTTATATAATATAAGTATTCGCTAATCAGGAAGTTGCTGAGCAACTGTGTCACACTGTATTGCCTGGTAACAAATTTCAGAATTTTTTAGTTTTATAGAAAAATGCAACAAAGTTTCATACATTGCAATTATGTTTAGAATATATACGTATTGGGTAAACAGGAAAACAATGAGCGATGAATCTGAAACCAAGTCGCACAGTATAGCATGCTGACATGCAGCTTGATAACAAAGGAGAAGGTCCGGCAAAAGTTTAGTTTGGCCTAAAATTTGAAGTATATCTGATGAAAGATTTTTGAAATTTTTTAAACACTGAAGTGTCTTCTTCAGTCAATTCAATTAGTTTATGTTAAAGATTTGAACTGATTTGGGCATTAAAGATGCCTAAATTCAAGCTTAAATATGAAAAATCTATCAAATTTGCTACAAAACGTCACTTTCCAGATGGTTTTTGTCTTAAATGGAAGTGGCCGCGTTCGTGTTCAGTCTCAACCTTTATATATGTTTATGTTTTATCATCAAATACAACATATATTTAAATAATAAGACTGAACACAAGTCTTTCATTTTAGACAAAAAACGTCTAAAAATTAGCGCAAATGCTGAAATTGTAAAGATTTCAGTAATTTTGCATAAATTAATGATGCTAGTACCTGATGAATGTGCAATGTAAGGTCAAAATCAGCCCTTATTTATGTTATAAAAGTATTCTACTTTCAAATAAATACTGTTAAAAAGCTTGTATAGTCCGCGGTTTTATTTTCCAAAATTGAACCTGCCAGACAGGGTGCGGACTATAGAGTACGATAACAAGCAAGTAATATGAGAAAAAATTGATTTCGCGAGGTGGTTTGTTTTTCGTTCCACCACTAATAAACTAATAATTATATCTAATCCATAGTAATATGTTATTTTTATTCAATATCAAATATATACTGATAGATTAACTAGAGGCTCCCAAGAGCCTGTGTCGCTCACCTGATTCTACTTTGGTTTTGGAAATCATGTAAAAATAGATTAAAACCATAACAGATACCCTAATAATCATTGAGGCCAAATTTGGTTTAATATTGGCCCCGTAATTTAATCAAAAGCAGAAGACTTTTGTAAAGTTTACAGAAATTACCAATAAATTCATTGAAATTGTAGAAAATGACTTTATAAAGACAATGACAAATCAGCTACAAAGAATCAACACTTGGTCAGCACCTCAAAAGAAACATTCATACCATGTTTGGTTTCAATCCATTAAGCAGTTTTCTAGAAGAAGACATTTGATTATATTTCCCATAGGGTCCTTTGTTAAACTAAGTCCCCCGTTGGCAGCCATCTTCGTTGATGGATTTGCAACAAAGTAACAACACTTGGTCAGCACCTCATAAGGAACATTCATGCCATGTTTGGTTTCATTCCATTCAGTGGTTCTTCAAAAGAAGACTTTTGTATGTATTTCACATAGGGTCCTTTGTTAAACTAAGTTCCCCGATGGCAGCCATCTTGGATGATTGATTGGCTACAAAGTAACACTTGGCCAGCACATCATTAGGAACATTCATGCCATGTTTGGTTTCATTCCATTCAGTGGTTCACTTAAAGAAAACATTTGTATATATTTTACATAGGGTCCTATGTTAAAATAAGTCCACCCTGGCGGCCATCTTGGATGATTGATCGCCTACTAAGTTACAACACTTGGTCAGCACCTCATAAGGAACATTCATGCCATGTTTTATTTCATTCCATTTAGTGGTTCTCTAAAAGAAGATATTTGTATGTATTTCCCTTATGGTCCTATGTTAAAATAAGTCCCCGGCTGGCGGACATCTTGGATGATGGATCGGCTTCAAAGTAACAACACTTGGTCAGCACCTCATAAGGAACATTCATGCCATGTTTGGTTTCATTCCATTCAGTGGTTCTCTAAACGAAGACATTTGTATGTATTGTCCATAGGGTCTTATATTAAACTAAGTCCCCGGCTGGCGGCCATCTTGGATGATTGATCGCCTACAAAGTTACAACACTTGGTCAGCACCTCATAAGGAACATTCATGCCATGTTTCATTTCATTCTGTTTAGTGGTTCTCTAAAAGAAGCGTTTGTATGTATTTCCAATAGGGTCCTATATTAAACTAACTCCCTCTCTGGCGGCCATCTTGGGTGATGGATCGGCTTCAAAGTAACAACACATGGTCAGCACCTCATAAGGAACATTCATGCCATGTTTGGTTTCATTCCATTCAGTGATTCTCTAAAAGAAGACATTTGTAAATATTTCCCATAGGGTCCTATGTTAAACTAAGTTCCCCGCTGGCAGCCATCTTGGATTATGGATCTGCTTCGAAGTAACAAAACTTGGTTAGCACCTCATAAGGATCATTCATGCCATGTTTGGTTTCATTCCATTCAGTGGTTCTCTAAAAGAAGACATTTGTATGTATTTCCCATAGGGTCCTATGTTAAACTAAGTCCCCCGCTGGCAGCCATCTTGGATGATGGATTGGCTTCAAAGTAACAACACTTGGTCAGCATCTCATAAGGAACATTCATGCCATGTTTTTTTTCATTCCATTCAGTGGTTCTCTAAAGGAAGACATTTGTATGTATTTCCCATAGGGTCCTATGTTAAACTAAGTCCCCTGCTGGTGGCCATCTTGGATTATGGATCGGCTTCAAAGTAACAACACTTGGTCAGCACCTCATAAGGAACATTCATGCCATGTTTGGTTTCATTCCATTCAGTGGTTCTCTAGAAGAAGTTCAAAATGTAAAAAGTTAACGACGACGACGGACGACGGACGCCAAGTGATGAGAAAAGCTCACTTGGCCCTTCGGGCCAGGTGAGCTAAAAATTAAATGCTTCACTACAAATTTCTCGTTTCTTTTCACTGAAAAATGGAATCTGCTTGAATTTAACGGAAAGAAAAAAGTATAAAAGTCAACCGAGAACCAGCTTACGATGTATAAACTACAAAACATAATCGGTTATTCGTTCCATTTTGGTGTTTAATACTGACGCATGTGTTTTGTTTTAGCTTAAGATCCTTCAAACATTAATGTGATAGATATATTAAACATTGTTTTACACAAGGATGGAACTGTTTTACTTTCAAATACGTATACTAGAGATATCTATTAAGTATGGATTTTTTGTACACTCTCACCGTATTTATTTTCTTTTACATGTGCTATTCAAACTTCCGGTTTAAACATACACAAGTTTCTAAATTGTTTTTTGTGTGATTTTGACACATTTTAACACTCGTGAAGTGATCTAGAATCATTTACAAGCAGTTTCAACTTCTATTTGATGATGGAAAACGGGTTTTTCCATGAAAATACCGCAAACGGCCACACACAATTTGAAATTACCAGAGTTTCATTAGACATTTTCTAACAGTTACAAAAAGTTTTTTACCTGAAATTTCTTGGCGAGAAGGGGGTGCGGACAATACACCAGTGCGAACTATACAAGCCTGATTACGGTAGCTAAAAGTTTACATTTATAACAAATTTTTGAAATGCTTTTTTTTGGGGCCAAAAGGGGGTCTTACCAGGCCTACTCCTTTCAGGAAGCTATTTTTTGTTGTTCCAGAGAAAAATGCAAACAGATATTCAATGGAACAGACAGACATATAGACACACAGACAGGAGTGAAATAAAAATTACAGCATTACTGTTTATGCTTTAAGTTACATATATGTTTAAAGAACATGTCTTTTAACACTTTATAATTTAAAAAAAGCAAGATTGATATTTGTTATTAGGACTCAATCACTTAGACTATCAATTTCCAATCTATACAGAATTGTAATTTTAAACAGCATATGTTTTAACCCGATAAAAAGTGCAGATGATTTCTAAATAGAATAAAGGCTAGTTATAAATACCTGTATTTTTCAGTAATTTGACTAGATCATTGTGACTATAATTTTCATGTAATGAAACATGGTGTATTTCTGTAATCTTTCCACTTTCCTGCTCTTTTTTCTGCAAAATATACAAATTCAAATGAAAACTAACTATACCACGTAAGTATTTCCTTATGTATATACATTCAGACCAACTAAAAGAAAAATAAGTTAAAGAATGAATTGTTGACACAGAGATATGTCCTGTGTGTATGTAATTTTATTGTAAAATGTAAATGTTTAAATTAAAATAGCATTACTTTAACATGTCAATTACACAAAATACTCATAGTCAATGAACCATGACTGAAGGAACAGGGCCAAATAATTTCTATGAAAAAAAGATATGCCAATGCTAATACAACTCCATACTAAATATCACTGACTTATCAATAGTGGTTCCCCTTAAACTGACCTAGTCACAAACTTTACAATGTAAACTATGAAAGTTTCAAAGTCAATAGACCATGACTGAGGGGGCAGGGACAAATAATCTCCATGGAAATGAGATGTGTCAATGCCGATACAGCTGCATACCAAATATCAAAGACTTACCATAAGGGTTCCCCTTAAACTGACCTAATTACAAACTTTTACATTAAAACTATGAAATTGTTTGAAAGTCAATACAAGGTTCTCCATAAACTAACCTAACGCCAACGCTTGAAACAACATGCTCAAGTCTTGCTTTTTCGGCTTCATTGGGACCAAACAAAAACTAAATAATCTGTTAACATAATGATAAGTCTCTAGTGATCTTTTTATTAATGCAAATAATGCGAATGGGTGAGCATCGCAATAATAACAAGAGGCTCTCAAGTGCCTGAATCGCTCACCTGTAACTTTTTGCTGAAAATCTTTCATCAATGATTATTTTTGCTTTTCAATATTTATTAATGAGTGGCTTAAAAATGCTATTTAAATGTTCTTTGTATCTGTCATATTTTCTTCAAAAGCAAAAAAATGCATTTTACCCCTATGTTCCATTATAGCCATAGTGGCTATGTTTCTTGACATGCAAGGAAATAAAATACAAAATTTATACTAGATACTCTGAAACTCATTCAGCCCTAGTTTGGCTCAAAAAAATTCAGCAATTTCAAAGCAGAAGATTTTTAAGTAAGGCAAGCAAACTAGATGAATAAAGTGTGAAAAATTGTCTTTAAAGGGCAATAACTCCTTAAGAGGTCAATTGAAAATTTTTGGAGATCTTACTTCGCTGAACATTTTTGCTGTTAACAGTTTATCTCTATCTTCAATAATATTCAAGATAATCACCAAAAACTGCAAAATTTCCTTAAAATTACCAATTTAGTGGCAGCAACCTAACAATGGGTTGTTAGGTTCGGCTGAAAATTTCAGGGACCTATTAAACTTTTTTACCCCCATGTCAGATATGCTCTAAATGCTTTAGTTTTTGAGATATAAGCCAAAAACTGGATTTGACCCCTATGTTCTATTTTTAGCCATGGAAGCCATGTTTGTTGATGGATTAAAACTTCGGATTTATAAACTAGATACCTTAAGGAACATTCGGTTAAAGTTTAGAAGTATTAGGCCCAGTAGTTTCAGAGGAGAAGATTCTTGAAATAGTTTACCTCGACGATGGACGCAAAGTGATGGCATAAGCTCACATGGGGCCCTTTGGGCCCTGTGAGCTAAAAACTTGCATTCTGACATCTGATACATATAGCTATAGGAAGATTTTCTTGAAACAAAATAATTAATCTCCCATTTTAGTCCATACTTCAAATATCGCAATAATAAATGCACACAATAATTTCTGAATTTAAAGTTAAGATAGAGAACTTACAGCAATGTAATTGGCTAATCTCCTGGCTAAGTAAGTCTTCCCTGTAGAATCTGGCCCATAAAACACTACACTTTTGTAATGTTCAAGCTATAAAAGAAGGATACAAGTTTATTAGAAAAGTTCTGCAGGCCTAAGACACAACGGCCTTGGGTGAAAGAGGGCAGTCTTTAAAGAAAACATGGAATTTGACTATCAAGATTAGGGACATCAAGTTTCTGGCTCCAAATCGTAACAGATCCATTGTCAAGCATCATTGGTTTCCTTATTATTTTCATCCACAAATATAATTTAGTCATTGATTGAATTCTGAACCACAAAAAACAAGAGTGCACACGCTGAAATGTCTCGCCTTCTTTACTAATCATTGATATTATGTTGATAGTCCTAAATATAAAGCTTTATTACAACTGTCACATAAACTTAACATTAACCAAGTAAACTAAACATTGACCAATGAACCATGAAAATGAGGTCAAGGTCAGATGAACCATGCTAAGCAGGCATGTACAGCTAACAATTCTTCCATACAACAAATATGGTTGACCTATTGCTTATAGTTTAATAAAAACAGACCAAAACACAAAAACTTAACACTGAGCAATGAACCTTGAAAATGAGGTCAAGGTCAAATAAAACCTGCGTGACTGACAAATAGATCATAAAATATTTCCATACACCAAATGTAGTTGAACTATTGCATATAGTATTAGAAAAAAAGATCAAATCCCAAAAACTTAACTTTGACCACTGAACCATGAAAATGAGGTCAAGGTCAGATGACACCTGCCAGCTAGACATGTACACCTTACAATCATTCCATATACCAAATATTGTAGACCTATTGCAGGCAGTATAAGAAAAACAGACCAAAACACAAAAACTCAACTATGACCACTGAACCATGAAAATGAGGTCAAGGTCAGATGACACCTGCCAGCTAGACATGTACACCTTACAATCCTTCCATACACCAAATATGGTAGACCTATTGCATACAGTATAAGAAAAACAGACCAAAACACAAAAACTCAACTATAACCACTGAACCATGAAAATGAGGTCAAGGTCAGATGACACCTGCCAGCTAGACATGTACACCTTACAATCATTCCATATACCAAATAGTGTAGACCTATTGCATGCAGTATAAGAAAAACAGACCAAACCACAAAAACTCAACTATGACCACTGAACCATGAAAATGAGGTCAAGGTCAGATGACACCTGCCAGCTAGACATGTACACCTTACAATCCTTCCATACACCAAATATTGCAGACCTATTGCATACAGTATAAGAAAAACAGACCAAAACACAAAAACTCAACTATAACCACTGAACCATGAAAATGAGGTCAAGGTCAGATGACACCTGCCAGCTAGACATGTACACCTTACAATCATTCCATACACCAAATATTGCAGACCTATTGCATACAGTATAAGAAAAACAGACCAAAACACAAAAACTCAACTATGACCACTGAACCATGAAAATGAGGTCAAGGTCAGATGACACCTGCCAGCTAGACATGTACACCTTACAATCCTTCCATACACCAAATATGGTAGACCTATTGCATACAGTATAAGAAAAACAGACCAAAACACAAAAACTCAACTATAACCACTGAACCATGAAAATGAGGTCAAGGTCAGATGACACCTGCCAGCTAGACATGTACACCTTACAATCATTCCATATACCAAATATTGTAGACCTATTGCATGCAGTATAAGAAAAACAGACCAAAACACAAAAACTCAACTATAACCACTGAACCATGAAAATGAGGTCAAGGTCAGATGACACCTGCCAGCTAGACATGTACACCTTACAATCCTTCCATACACCAAATATTGTAGACCTATTGCATACAGTATAAGAAAAACAGACCAAAACACAAAAACTCAACTATAACCACTGAACCATGAAAATGAGGTCAAGGTCAGATGACACCTGCCAGCTAGACATGTACACCTTACAATCATTCCATACACCAAATATTGTAGACCTATTGCATACAGTATAAGAAAAACAGACCAAAACACAAAAACTCAACTATGACCACTGAACCATGAAAATGAGGTCAAGGTCAGATGACACCTGCCAGCTAGACATGTACACCTTACAGTCCTTCCATACACCAAATATGGTAGACCTATTGCATACAGTATAAGAAAAACAGACCAAAACACAAAAACTCAACTATAACCACTGAACCATGAAAATGAGGTCAAGGTCAGATGACACCTGCCAGCTAGACATGTACACCTTACAATCATTCCATATACCAAATATTGTAGACCTATTGCATGCAGTATAAGAAAAACAGAACAAAACACAAAAACTCAACTATGACCACTGAACCATGAAAATGAGGTCAAGGTCAGATGACACCTGCCAGCTAGACATGTACACCTTACAATCATTCCATACACCAAATATTGTAGACCTATTGCATACAGTATAAGAAAAACAGACCAAAACACAAAAACTCAACTATGACCACTGAACCATGAAAATGAGGTCAAGGTCAGATGACACCTGCCAGCTAGACATGTACACCTTACAGTCCTTCCATACACCAAATATGGTAGACCTATTGCATACAGTATAAGAAAAACAGACCAAAACACAAAAACTCAACTATAACCACTGAACCATGAAAATGAGGTCAAGGTCAGATGACACCTGCCAGCTAGACATGTACACCTTACAATCATTCCATATACCAAATATTGTAGACCTATTGCATGCAGTATAAGAAAAACAGAACAAAACACAAAAACTCAACTATGACCACTGAACCATGAAAATGAGGTCAAGGTCAGATGACACCTGCCAGCTAGACATGTACACCTTACAATCCTTCCATACACCAAATATTGTAGACCTAATGCATACAGTATAAGAAAAACAGACCAAAACACAACAAGAGTGCACACGCTGAAATGTCTCGCCTTCTTTACTAATCATTGATATTATGTTGATAGTCCTAAATATAAAGCTTTATTACAACTGTCACATAAACTTAACATTAACCAAGTAAACTAAACATTGACCAATGAACCATGAAAATGAGGTCAAGGTCAGATGAACCATGCTAGGCAGGCATGTACAGCTAACAATTCTTCCATACAACAAATATAGTTGACCTATTGCTTATAGTTTAAGAAAAACAGACGAAAACACAAAAACTTAACACTGAGCAATGAACCTTGAAAATGAGGTCAAGGTCAAATAAAACCTGCGTAACTGACATATAGATCATAAAATATTTCCATACACCAAATATAGTTGAACTATTGCATATAGTATTAGAAAAAAAGACCAAAACTCAAAAACTTAACTTTGACCATTGAACCATGAAAATGAGGTCAAGGTAAGATGACACCTGCCAGCTAGACATGTACACCTTACAATCATTCCATACACCAAATATAGCTGACCTATTGCATGCAGTATTAGAAAGAAAGACCAAAACTCAAAAACTTAACTTTGACCACTGAACCATGAAAATGAGGTCAAGGTCAGATGACACCTGCCAGCTAGACATGTACACCTTACAATCATTCCATACACCAAATATAGTAGACCTATTGCATACAGTATAAGAAAAACAGACCAAAACACAAAAACTTAACTATAACCACTGAACCATGAAAATGAGGTCAAGGTCAGATGACACCTGCCAGTTGGACATGTACACCTTACAGTCCTTCCATACACCGAATATACTAGACCTATTGCTTATAGTATCTGAGATATGGACTTGACCACGAAAACTTAACCTTGTTCACTGATCCATGAAATGAGGTCGAGGTCACTTGAAAACTGTCTGACGGGCATGAGGACCTTGCAAGGTACGCACATACCAAATATAGTTATCCTATTACTTATAATAAGAGAGAATTTAACATTACAAAAAATCTGAACTTTTTTTTCAAGTAGTCACTGAACCATGAAAATGAGGTCAAGGACATTGGACATGCGACTGACGGAAACTTCGTAACATGAGGCATCCATATACAAAGTATGAAGCATCCAGGTCTTCCATCTTCTAAAATATAAAGCTTTTAAGAAGTTAGCTAACGCCGCCGCCGCCGCAGCCGCCGTAGCTGCCGCCGCCGGATCGCTATCCCTATGTCGAGCTTTCTGCGACAAAAGTCGCAGGCTCGACAAAAACTCAACTATAACCACTGAACCATGAAAATGAGGTCAAGGTCAGATGACACCTGCCAGCTAGACATGTACACCTTACAATCATTCCATACACCAAATATTGTAGACCTATTGCATACAGTATAAGAAAAACAGACCAAAACACAAAAACTCAACTATGACCACTGAACCATGAAAATGAGGTCAAGGTCAGATGACACCTGCCAGCTAGACATGTACACCTTACAATCCTTCCATACACCAAATATGGTAGACCTATTGCATACAGTATAAGAAAAACAGACCAAAACACAAAAACTCAACTATAACCACTGAACCATGAAAATGAGGTCAAGGTCAGATGACACCTGCCAGCTAGACATGTACACCTTACAGTCCTTCCATACACCGAATATACTAGACCTATTGCTTATAGTATCTGAGATATGGACTTGACCACCAAAACTTAACCTTGTTCACTGATCCATGAAATGAGGTCGAGGTCAAGTGAAAACTGTCTGACGGGCATGAGGACCTTGCAAGGTACGCACATACCAAATATAGTTATCCTATTACTTATAATAAGAGAGAATTTAACATTACAAAAAATGTTAACTTTTTTTTCAAGTAGTCACTGAACCATGAAAATGAGGTCAAGGACATTGGACATGTGACTGACGGAAACTTCGTAACATGAGGCATCCATATACAAAGTATGAAGCATCCAGGTCTTCCACCCTCTAAAATATAAAGCTGTTAAGAAGTTAGCTAACGCTGCCGCCGCCGGATCACTATCCCTATGTCGAGCTTTCTGCGACAAAAGTCGCAGGCTCGACAAAAATTCAATCAACCAAACCCTCCTTTCGACATCAATTAGGTTATTAGTTACATTCATACATTTTCAAGGAAAGTCCAGCTACAAATTTGATTTTTTTCCCTCTAAAACTGTGGATTCATTTGTTTTTTTCTGTTGATTGAGGGAAAATTATATTTTCATGGATATATGATTTTCTAGTTTTTCCAAAGTCTGCTGCATATATGCCAATATAAAATGTGTACTTCATTGATTATTTAAATTCATGATTTACCCATACCCAGGAAATCCATGACAATTGGTAGCCAACTAATAATAATGAATCCACAGTATGGCAAATTTTTAACCTTGTTTTTGTTAATCAATTCTGATGAGCATATATTACAATATTAAGACTGAGTCATGTTATTAAGGTTATAATGTTTTTAATGTTTTCTTCTAATAATTCATGTTAAAACCTTTATTTTTCAATGTGTGCACCAGTTTCGACTTGGGTGAAGTTCAGGCCTGCATCATTGCGAGGATATGCAAAAACACATAATTAACAGTGCAATTTGAATCTAATTTATGTTTGAATAAAGTATACAAAGTTAAAGTAAAGTTTACTTAATTGGTTCAATCAACATCACTTAGACAACGTTAGTTAACCATGGATTATCAGACTCATTAAATACACTGTTATGGGAATACAAAAAAACATCTTAACCTGCTTTCATCCTCTGTAGTGTTTATCTATAAGACTTACCAATCTAATGTAATTTTGTAGAACAGACACTGGGAACAAAACATCACAGGCCAAAGCTTCTATACTATCTATAATAAATATATGAAACATCATATAGGCACACTCATTCTATTACAATTTTCTGAGAAATCTCTGGTGAATATATATGCATTGCATTCCTTCATCTCCTTAAAATTTTAGAATATAGGGAGAAAAACTGAACTAACATTTTATTGCTATATGTTTTTGTAGGTACTGTGTTCTATACAATTTTGAGTTCACACAGTATTACTCTAAATTTTGTCTTTAATGAAAGTTGACAGCTAGTAAACTATCCAATGTGCAGGTGTCTAGATCTCTTCCTTGCCATCTACATAACCTACTACCTTTGCTGATTTGATAATCAGAAGATTCCTTACATTTTGCTAAATTCTTAAGATTTCTATAGCAATATCTATGAAATATTCATTTTCTGGTCTATATGCATCATCCCTTAGTGTCTTACATTTGTGCCACCCCTTCAATATTTTCTGATTAGGGTATTCTACAAATAATCCTACACAAGGGTTGAAATGAGGAAGATCAAGGTCACACAGTGTCATTCAGAAAATCTTTAGTCATATAATGTGGCATTGTAGCTAAGACAGTTGAAAAACTATTGAAAAATTTATCTGTCTGACAAAATGTAATAAACAAAGTATAATAAATGATATGACAAAACTTGTCTATGTACTGTGCCAAGGGAGATAACCAAAGTTTTGTTGACCACATTTCAAATGTAATTCTTATTAATTTTTTCTCTCTCTCTTTCTCACATTATGTTATCTGTTGAAAGTACAACTATATTCACTAACTGATGTAGGATCAAGTTTCGTAATCATGTCTTAAAAGAAACTCTCCATTAAATCAATGAACAATAATCCATTCTATTCTGTTCTATATGTAGAAGAATTTCTGCAGACGAATTTTAGTTTCAAAGTGCCTATCACAAAATTAACAGAAATTAAGTCATGAAATTCCTGATCTATGTTAATTGCCATATTGTTAATTTTATTTACATTTGATGCCTACTAATAAATTGCAAAGGGAGAATACATCTTATCTTCTTACAAAATAAAAATCACCTGCATGATTTCTTCCATCTAAGCTACTTATATGCATTATAATTGCTCCAATTGTCAATACTTACTTTCAACTATAATACTAACAGTATTAGCCTTATTATTGCACATTACATCATATGGCAGCTGTTGAAAGCTGTCACCTTTGTTCCAAGCAAATCTACCTGTAAATGGTTTAAACATTGTGATATTATTCTTGTATAGAAATACATTTCAGTATGTCCACAATCTTATTTTAATTATCAATCTGCTCAACTCCTTTTCCATATTACTCCAACATATCAGCATGGAAAGAAAATGAAAGTTAAAATAATACTTCTATGATATAACCAAGTAACAGGACTGAACATATTTATGTGTATTTTTTTTCAGCTTGTGTATTTATTTTGATGTAGCCTGTTAATTGTCAATGTGACTTTACTTGTGATCTGCATATTTGAAAATGCAAGTTCAAGACTTGCACAGTTTTACCTATTTGGAGAAATACAATTAGAAGCATTATATACCTTGTCCCTTTCGCCAAAAATTATTTCTCAACCTTTAAAAATAGTTCGTGCGCATAGCTTCCTAAACGTGCATATTTCTTTTAATTAAGCACATGACATCTCACATGATATTACGTCAGAAACGAAATCCCAATTTTTATTGGTCAACTGAAGTCCGTCATTAAAGGTCAATTTATTCATATGATATAATAAAAAACAAACAAAAAAACAAATGCAGTCTCATTTTTGGACTGAATAAAATGTTTTCCATGGCCGTTTGCAGGCAAAATGGAAGAAATAATGAAGCAACACAAAGGTTAGAGCATCCGAATCAGAAAACGACAACTTTCAATGAAATGTTGGATTAAATGCACCCTAAATACCCGCATTAATATGCAAATTATAGCAAATGGTGTCACAGGTTAAATATTTGTGATTTTCACCGGAGAAGATTCTTGTTCAGACGTAAAACATTGAATTAAACTGCTGTTGTACCCACTTTGCTCCTCGAACGCAGCCATTAATTTTCACCTGCAGATTCAATTGTATTTTTCCTATTTAAAACGGTACGATTGCACAAAACGAAGCATAGAAATAAATTTCATAGTACGTTCTATGACTTGGTCAATTTTTTCGTTCATACGACCTGCCATTTAGTTGTCAAACAGGTTTTATAAATACCAAAAAAACGATGCCTTATGGCATTGTTGGGCATGCACCAGGTGATGCCTCAAGGCATTGTTGGGGATGAAAGGGTTCATTATTTTTTTTGGTTTCATTTTTTTTTTGTCTATTGATTTTTAATGTATGCTCTTTTATGTACCTTTGTTAGTCCATTGAACAAGATTAAAAGCTGGAAAGATTGAGATCTCAAAAACTATTCCAACCTCTGACATGTTCATGGGCCCGTCAGAAATCTCATCAGTGTTTGTCTTTACCATTTGGGGAATGTGATGTTAATGGCAGATCCTAGAATTATCTCTGTTCAATTCTTTCACAACTTTTTTCAACTTGGGGTGATTTATAGTTTGAAATATTATACAGGCATCTGTCTATTGTTGAAGACAACTTGTTGAGAACTAAGTGTCTTTTTATTTTTTGTTGTTGGGTTGCTGTTTCATTGAGAAATAACCCAAATTTTATTTTATTCAAAAGAAAAAAAGTTGTGAAATGATCCAAGAAAATCCACGTCTAAAACTTTTCACATTTTACAAGGAAATGTGTACTTGTTCCAAACTGATAGCCACATATGCCTATAAGTAATAGTCAAACATTCCTGGTTTTACTTATATCAAGACTACATTGATCCATAAACCATCCAATTTTAGGCATTTCAAATTTGTCATTTGTTCGAAACAGTGGAAGCTGCATAGTCAAAATAATCCAAAGAATTATACTTAATGGTTTATACAAATGTTCAATATAAATAATTTTACTTACATCAACCTAAGATATCACCCAATTACTACTTTAATGTTAACCACAAGCAATCAATCCTGTTGGAGTATGAGATGAATGGACAGTAAGACAATTGCATAGTTGGACCTTATACATGTAGATTCATTGCAACTTGTTTTATTTAGAATTCATAAAACAGTTTTGTTTCTATAATAAATTAACTCTCTTGCTGCCAGAGGGACACCTTTGTCCATATTATTAATTTATGCAAGCACCTGTTCATTACTGAATCTTATTCAAATAAATTTGAATACTAAGATTATACAGTGTAATCTTTTTCTTAAATGGGTCTCAATTATAATATCATGAGGGCATGACATAAGATATCTCAAGCTGCTGTATTTCCAGGCAAATGAAATGAAACCATATCAAATTAAGGCTGCAAGAGGGTTAAACAACAATACACAGGAATTAACGACTAGCAAATATCATATCTCTAACCTACATCATCATGAAATAATATCCAGCCAAAACCTTTCATATGTATCAAACTATGCTTAAATACCTAGCATAAACCTATCTAGGATATCAAACTTGATTCCTAGTGAATACTGCATGCTGTCCCCGCCTATTTCTGGATCCAATCTACTGGTTCTTTTTGTTTTCAAACCAACATCTAGCTGTGATAAGAAAGAAGTCAAAACAAACTGTAATTTATTCTCCAATATGACCCAGGGTGTGTTTGGTGCTAGTAGTACACTTCCAATGTTAAATTTCTGTGTTGGTAAAGTAAACATGTCTGTATTGGATGACGAAACATATGAAATTTCTAGTATCACTGACAGGGAAACATCCTTGGAATCAACTGCAAAATATAAATACATCATTGTTAAAAACAAAAACTAAGGCATTTAAGATTATCAGTACAGCTAAAAACTCATATATATATATAACCCTTCAGCTTTTATTCATTTTAAAATTTTAAATTAAACTGTCAAGTGCAAAATTGCAATGCACATTTTACGTAAAATATTAAATTTTCATATAAGGTCAAGGAAACACAGTTATCATCCTTCGATTTTCGTTGCCTACAAATAAAGTGGACAGTGTATAACTTGTAATTTTTTTTCATACCCCTTTCAAATTTATTTCTTCATGTTTTATGCCCCAAATAGCAAGTAAGGGGATGAAATTACACTTAATTAAAAAGATTGAGTTTTAAAGTATAAAAGTAGTGATTTGGTCCAGTTGAAAAAGGTTAAAAATTAGTATGTCTGAAGCTGTCAAACCAACTTCAAGACCCCCTTAACATAAAATTGTCCATATTATGAGTTAGAGCTAATGAAGTTTTCTATAATTTTGATATAATTTGTCCCAAAAGTAGAACATCACACTGTAAAAAATATTATTGAGGAAGCGCAGGTGAGATTTTTTTAATTTTCATTTATTGTCTAAAAGAAATGCACTAAAAAATAACTGTGTTCTCGGGCCTAAGATATAACAAGATTTTAATTAGGATTTTAAAATATTTTACAGTTAAGGAGCAGAAATACAAAGACAGCAGTTTTTGTCAAGTACATAAATATATATGATGATTTCTTTGTGTACATTTCCATCGCGACTTTAATATTTAACTGGCCTGAAACATGAGGTCACATATTTCTATAACAATAAGTGTAAGATCTCAACCTACAGTAACATAAAAGTATTCAACAAGGGAGACAATACTTGCCTATTTGTCTAAGGTATTGATTACATTGTGGTGAAGCAACATCTAATACAGTTCGACCCCACCTATCTTTCTTCTCTAAATCTACATTACAGTGGTTCAATACTACATCTAAGCAATCCTGAAAGTTAAAATAGATAGCATTTGTAAGCTTACATGATTTCACATTAGCAGTATTACATTGCCACTGTCATGATTGGCACATTTTCTGTTTAGATGAAGATCAAATTATCAATATATATTGTATCCTAACTTTCAGAGCATGTTTAGGTGGAATTGAAACTCCTATCAATGATTTTTACCATTAGGAGTGTGTTAATTTTAACCTTTTACAATTCAGTTAAAGTTTATTTAATCTACAAAAGTGCCACATGACAGACCTCCTTCTAAACAGTGATAGAGACAATAAATTTGAAGATACCGTTATTTTATTCTAAATGCAAAATTCTGTAAAATATAATCATGAAATTCAAGATTATTAAGGGGGAGATAATCCTTAATTTTAATGTCAATATGTTTTACAGTCTACTCAAGTTAATATATATATATTTTAAAAATTGACTCACTTATTTTTCAATAAACTTTTTTCCACATAACCATTGTGATATAGATCTTAATATTTAACAGCAACTATCTATTATTCTACTAGATTTCAACAAAATAGAATATATATAGAGTATATTATTTTTCTAAATTTCAGTATTATGGAACAAGTACATATTATCAATTCTAATATTCTTACTGGAGTATTATGAGTAGCTGCTATGTGGGTTATAGTCCAGCCATCTTTATCATTTCTTCAACTACTTCATTTAAGTTGTATGTCCTTGATGCGGATTTAGGATGGTAAGTCAACAAAAATCTCAAACATTCAGCAAGATTTGAATGCACTACACTGTGTAATGGTGTCCAGGTGGTCTAAATAAAATTAATATTGAATATCAAAACTCTGATAGAAAAATAAATCCGAGATATAATGATGTACAGGGTATTGCGTATAGTACATGTATGTCAGTGTCTTTTATTAAATAAATGTGATGTTTTATTCATTAACTCTTTTTCCAAGGCTGAATATAGACATCAGCAATGATTACTTTTATTGATAATTGTACAATATATATTTTTGTTTTCCTAGTAACAAAATTTTGTAAAATATGCACATCTTATATCTATCACATTCAACTTTTTCTTTCTATATTTAGTTCAGTTGAAGTCTCATTGAAGTATACTCCACATCTTTTATTTGGATTCATATGATAATGTAAATATTGCGGACGCTCAGAAAATGAGCTTGCATAAATACTTTGACATTTCAAGCGCTAACAGAAAAACAGAATACGATGTTAATGGGAATAGTATCCCCAAAAAACAGAAGGATAATGAATGTGGCAGGGAAAAAAGGAACAGAACCTACCAAGTCAAGTGGGCTGACAAATTTCCCTGGGTCAAATTCAATGAGGGCAAGACGTATTGCACAATTTGCTTAAAATATGGATTGTCTATTGCTTATAGTATATAAATTTAAAAAAGTCACACAAAATTATCATAATCAGTTGACATGTTAAACCCTTAAAAGTATGCTCAGATTGCAGGATTTTGCATCTTAAATTTCAAAATTTTCTTGGGGGGCATGCCCCAAACCCCCCTAGCAAATTCGACCCGCTTCGAGGGTCTCAACCTGGGATAGTGAATTTGCACACGGGAAAGTGAATTTTTTTTTATCACTTTCCCTTGGGTAAGTGGCCTGCCAAAAAATTCTTCATCCCCTGCAATGACATACAAAAAGTAAAAGCATAAACACAAAAAAAAATGCTTTAGGCATATTAATATAAGCTTATATTTAACCATGATCTTACATTCGATATACTATTGAGTTTAGCTCCATGTTCTAATAGTAAATGACAACATTCAGTATGTCCCTCTGTAGCTGCCAAATGTAAAGCAGTCCAATTGTTGTGATCACCATGGTTAGGACTAGCTCCATGATCTAACAGCAACTTTAAGCATCTGCAAGAAATAATATACTAGAAGAATAAAATAGATAAATCATTCCAGCCACAACAATCATTTCACAAATGATTGTATATCTTCATTACAGCTATTAACACATTTTGTCATCAACTGCCTTGTTATTGAACATGAATTTGACAGCTCATGCCCGTTTAATATATTTTGTAATGTATGAGATTTCTTGTTGATGGCAGATACTTAATCGTCTCCTTTAAAAATATTCACAATTTTTCTGGACTAAGGGCAATTTAGAGGAATAAATATATATTGTAAGGTCACTTGTCAGTTTTTTAAAGACTGTAAGTTGTAGATGTCTTTTTTTTTTTTTATCCTTTGGTTGATGTTATATTAATGTATATCCCACATCTCTATTTTTAATCATATTCAATTAGAAAAAAACCTTTTATAATCATTTCCTGTACCTCATTCTACAATAAAAGGATTAATATGGATAGAATTTTTAAATCTTAGTTAAGCCTATTCAAACGATTTACAAAAAAAAACATATGTTACTGCTATACCACCTCTAGCATTTTTTATCATTCAATTTTTAATATTTGTGTTTGTCACCTAATCACACATTAAATTTACTCAACCTGTACCAAGGGAGGTCATCTTGACCAGCATTGTTTGTACTATATTTTCCAATGAGTCAGGTGTTGGTGTGGTCTGTAATACTGTCCAATATATTTGATAATTCCTAAATAATGACTTACACTTTATATCCCTGTATGGCTGTTGCATGTAATGGACTAAATCTGTCATCTCTCACAGAGTTAGGATTGGCTCCATACTCCAACAACAATTTCACACATCCTAAATAGATATATAATTAAATTTAGTAAAGAAAAAAGTTATAAACTGAACAAGGACTGCATTTGACAGCAATGACTTTAATCCAATGATTCCAATCAGGTCAAAATGTGGGTTCTTTGTTTGTTCAAAACATAAGGCCACCCTTAAAAAATTGTTTGGCATTGCCGACCCACACTATCAGCAGGTGGGTAGGTAGGTAGGGAAATTATTTTTTTTTTATATTTAAAAGCTTTATACATGTAAATCATGAAGTCTCTAGATCAATGGTGTCTAAAGCATTGCAGCATTGTTGTGTGTACATGCTGATGGTTTCTTTGAAAGGGGTCAACCGTCAATGTCACATTCTACATCATATGGATAATTTCATGTAAGAGTCAGTTTTATTGGCAGAGTTAACCAAAGTACCCAGAAAAAAACACAGAATAGAGGCAGGAAACTGACAAATTAACCATATAAAATGTATGACGTGAAAATTGAACTTTAATTGTGGGACTGCCCATTGAACAGAGACCAGATGTCACATATTTAAGTTGTGGTCACAGTTTGGTAAAATTACCATATTTTAAATGGCTCAACCACTACAGCTCCTTGTACAAATAGACAATGATTTAAAACTGATTGTTTGCTTTGGTTTTATAAACATCACTTTCTACACCATATGGGTAATTTCATGGCAGTTAGTTTTGTTTTGAAGGAAAGTGCCAACTTGCGGGAGGAAACTGACTAACCTTATCACATATGACATGAAAATCAAACTTTAATTTTGCAACTGCCCAACTAGGGCTCAAACCAACACCTAGAGGCTAGTTATCTTGCATGTAAGGTGTGACAAATTACCATACAAACACGCCTACTGCCCCTGATAAGTTTTGAGGATAAAGGATCTGTACCAAATTAGGATAGCAAAATATTAAAAATTTGGAAGGTTGGCACAAATAGACATGGTGTTTATACTAATATTATCCAAGTGCAAGGTTTTTCAGGGCTAGGTTTAAAACGTATGATAAATTCAAAATAGAAATATGCAGCAGGACAATTTTTGCAGATAAATAAATTATGGGTTGTAATGCTTGTTTGATTAACAGAAATCTGGACATGCATTACATGAATACAGATAAATTAATGAGCCCTTAGAATTGTGGAAAAGGAGGGGATTTTATTCATCACTAGTACACTAGATACATTTATAAATATGTTTCTGTCAGTATCTTTTATGATGGGCGTAAAGGGGGGGGGGGGGGGGTATCTGCACGGAAGAACGCGAAATAAAATTGCCATATCACGATGAACGAACAATTAAAAATTTCTTGCACGTTGATCTTTATACCGATTTCACGAAACATGGTGAATAACAAACCTTTTTCACGGTCGCACGTGAAATAAAAATGGCAAAACACGTTGCATGAAAATAACCCTTTACCAACCTCTTTTATGTTTTAAGAATTATCTTATTCATGTTAAGAAGAAAGGCAAGAAAAGGGGGAAGTACTTCAATTGACACAAGATGCTAGTCTTTTAAAATATGTATGTTTTGTACCAGGCTAGCATCTACTGGTACAAAACTACTATAAACCTGTAAATCTGGGACCATTTTGGTCTTTTAGCTTTGGTGCTTTCAGCCATAATTATCTTGAATGCATCATTGTGGTTCTGACTATAGTAGATACTTTGTTCTCTGGTTCAAGGGAAAATTTGTCAATGATAAATTTCAAATATTTAATAAATTTAACAAATGTAAGAGCCACGCATATTTGTTCTGTGATGTCCTGGTGAAAAGCTTCTATCTCATGAAGCGACAGTCAAGCAGGCATCAACTGTTTCTGCTTTACAAAGATAAAATTTGAGTCCTCTACAAGGTTTCTCAGAACGTTTCTTTCAAAGAATAGCTGAAAATTTGATTTTTGATAAAATCCATCTCCATTAACCGATGCATTGCAGCATAGGGAGATGCTTCCCCCTGTAGGCCTCTTTGACATTACTTTTGGCAGACTTTTTCTATTCCATGTCATTTAAATGTTTGCTCCCAATATAGTGTAAGGCAAGCGCTTTTAAGATTGTGATTTGAAATAAGTAAAGCCAGGAACAAAATCGGCAGATACGATAAAATTCTTGCACAATTTCGATTTTTTTTAAATAAAAAAAATAAATTTCTAAAACGCAAATAAAATTTTTTGGGCGGCAAGTTTTTCAGTGGGTCGGGCGGCAATGCCAAACAAATAAAATTTTATTTTAGGCCTAATGAAATGCTTTGATAATCTCTATATAGAGGACCAATTATTGATGATATCCTTTTCTACAAATATTTCTATCATTAAAAAAACAAAGAAATTATGATATAGGGTGGCATGTATATTTAAGCTACACTCATCCCAAGTTTTCAAATTTTATTTTTTTTAAGTTTTTTAAAAAAAATTTAAAAGTAAAATGAAATTACCCATAGAAATAGCAATAGTATTGTTCATTGTTTGGCAATAAAAAAACTTGGTTGGCTATGAAATTCAATAAAAATTCAATTACGACTTTGAAGAATGAAAAAAATAATGTTGTATTTCAAACGAAACAGGTTAATTTCAACAATGTCATAAGATATTTCTACATCTAATATCTACTTGAAATACATTAATATAATAAACCATACAAACCATCATGACCCTTTTCAGCAGCTTTAAGCAATGGTGTTGATCCATCCTTCAAAGGAAGGTTTACATCAGCATCACATTCTAATATTAGTTTTCGCAGAGAATCAAAGTTTCCATCGAATGCAAATTTATGGAGAGGAGAAGCTTCAATTTCATTAGCAGAGGATGATGAAGATAATGATGATGATGAATCGGACTGTAGCAATGATGAGGTGGGGTCTATTTCAGTATGTGTAGTATCCGAATCTGAAAAGTATAACCTGGGTATTTAAATGTACACAAAGCATATTCTTTCATCTGATTTCAACGAATAATTTCTCATCAAAACATTAAAAGACCAAAAACAACCTCTTGAAAGATGAATGTGTAACTGTCACAAAGACACAAGGTTTGTTGATACTTATTACAAAACTGATTTTTTCATAAAATATTTAATATATTCATCAAAGAATTATTTTAAATATACAATACATGTATTGATTATCAATTTATTTAGTGAAATCCATTTCTCTATATCATATATTGCTTTAAAATGAATTAAGTGTTTTTAACAATATCTTGAAGGTAGGCATCAATAATGAATAAATTTGATCAATTATTTAGTGAAGTAACCTAGTTAAGCTTCACAAATGAAAATACAGCATACTTATTATATGTGATGCATGTAATGTCAAGTAAAAACATGTGATTTCAGCAAATAATCAAAATAAGAAACAAAATAATACCAAATTAAATTATTTTATTTTTAAATTAACAAAATAAGAAAGAAACTAAACAAAGAGGAAACTGAGCTCTTGATTCATGCATTATATAAAACAAAACTCAGAATTAAATTTAAGAAAATACAGAACAATAAAAAGAAAGAATAAAGAATAAATACAAAGACAAAATCATGCAAAACTAAGAGGAAACACACAAGTGCCAATACAACAGACTGTGGCAATAGATTACCTTCATTGCTCCTTAAATTTCTGAAATTTTATCATCACAAGGTGTTGCTTACTTCTTCATCCAAAGCATACAACAGTGCAAGTGTTTCAATGTGCTTCTTCCAACAATACATGATGAAACAGACTGCCAGGTTTACTGGTCCAAATCTTAATTTGGTATATAACAAGTGTAGATTTCAAAGAGTCAAAATTTACAATGGTGCACGCATATTCACTTTACTTGTTTTTTGGGTTTTTTTTGCTGTTTTTTTTAGGGGGAGCTCATGATTCTATTTCATCTGAGTTCAATTGCAGTTTACATGTAAGCATATGCAATCTTTTGTTTTTTGGGCTTATTGTATGCCACATATAATCTTGTATGACATTAAATTTTATTGCCTACAGAACCTATCACTAATATAATTAACATCTCAAAAAGATATCAAATAAATTGAATATCAGCAGCATTCAGTAAGGGTATCAAATCAAGACTGACGTGTATTTATTTTACATCAACACACACCACTTCTGATCACTAGAGTATCATGCAGTGTTGATATATGACAGGAGAAAATCATTTTACAGTGTTCGTTTCTAGACATATCTGGTTATCTGCTTTGAAACAATTGCATGAACAACAAATTGGGGTGGCATTGCAACATTTTGAAATGCAGTATGCTAATTTAAGGAAAGCAAACATGTAATCATTAAGAAAATAAGAACTTTGTTGAAATGGGATTCATTATTGTATAACACAAATTCATGTTGATTGTTTGAAGACTGCACCATTTAAATTATTCAATAAATCCAAATTTCTATAAGAGGAAAATGAATATGAAACAAGAAGCTTCTAAGAGCCCTGACTTGCTCACCAGGAATTTTTTGGGTATCAAATATTATTTGCTGTTAATGTATATTAATGTGTATGTCAATGCTAAGGCAACTGCATACCAAATATCACTGACCTATCGCAAGTAGTTTCTCTAAAGGTGACCTAATAAAAAAATTTTAATGTAAAATGTAGAAAAGTTTCAGTCAATGGACCATGACTGAGGAAGCAGGACCACAAAATCTTGATGGAAATAAGATGTGCCCATGCTATGACAACTGCCTACCATTGAATCATATAACTACCATTAGTGGGTAGTCTTAAACTAAACTTACCACAAATTTTAACAATTGTTAAAACAACTGCAAAATCAACATGCCTGCAAATCCTCCCTATTCAAGACAGAACAAAAATGGTCAAAGTCCCATAACTCAGTCTGGCAATAATTATCAAATCAAAATGGGGATATAGTATTGGCAACTACTACATGATGACAAACAATCTCACCAAGTCTTAAAGCTTTCAGTATTGTTTGCAAGGTGTTGTTATGCTACATTAGACCAAAAATGGTAAAGTCCCATAATTCTTGCAAAATTGTCAAATTCCAACAAAATTGCTTGTTGTATGGCCAACTACACATGACAAGAAATAAGCATGAAAACATTTTTGGCAACTGGTCTGAGACTAGTAATGTAGACGGACTGACAGACTAAGACTGTGTTTTCTTCTGAGTTGAGGCGGAAAATACATGTATTATAATTTACTCACAATTAATTGGTTAATACTGTTTTGCCAAAATTTCTCATCTTGGGTAAAGTCCTAGATATACTAAAGATATTTTATCAAAGCACCAGATATGTCAATGAGGAAAGAGTGAAAATAACACCATAGCCTATATAGAACACTAAAAAGTACCACTACCATAACTGTCCAAAACAGTATACTTCATTATAGTGGAATACTCAGATATCAGATTACAAGAGATTTTCTCCAAAAATTTAAAGTGAAATCTTTACTTTATATTAATTTTTGCACATTTATAAGACATTGTCTGTAGTAGAACCAACATATAATGTGCAGAGGAGCTATACGCTATCATTTATGGTTAGGCCACACAAATGTTTTTTTCTGATTTTTTTTAGTACCAAATTTGGAAAGACATGTCCTGTCTGCAAATTAAATAATTCAACCCCAATTTCTATTACTTTTATTGAAAGAGAGAGAGAAAGAGTGAGATATAGCTTGTTGCTAGTTGCATATTCTGTATGTCAAAATATAAATATCATAAAATTTTTAAATGCATGTATATCATAAAAAACAGTAATTCCATATAATGTTTTACCAAACGATATTTTTTTACATCTATTCAAAAATCAAACTTTCTCTCATTCTCTCTTTGTAGCTTTATAATCCAAAGAATGAATAGTCAATTTGCAATGGATATGTGAGTAATATACTATATATACTTGAATTCTACTATGTTGAAGTATACTACTTTGGTAATGTTTTTAGAAGACAGAATTTACCTGACATAATAGTAGTAAGAAGTTGTTGTAGATCAGCCATTTCTGGCCCAAGGAATTCCAAAGGATCAGAGGAAGTAGGGGGCGTTTCAACATCTAAAGCAGCATTCTCAGGACTTGACTGCAAATAATAAACATGCAACAATGCTCAGCCAAAATAAAAAAGAATTTTACAACGATACATGCAAACACTAAACTGAATTTCAGTAAACTAAAATGTAAATTGATCTAAAAATAATGAATATGTATGAGAAATGAGTGAGATGTTCTACTGTATCGCTAGTGTATAGTCAATAAACATATTTATTTGGCTGAGAAATTTCTTTATTAATTTTCCCATTTCAGTTTTATCATAATTCAAAATAAATTAACAATGATTTGTACCAAAAACTAAGAACTTGTTATTATATTTGGGCTGTATACCAATTATACTCTAAAGAGGGTGTAACTATGACATACATGTATATTCTAGAAATATTCTCCTCCATAAAGTGAAAGTTTAATGATGTTCTGGCCAGAAATGAATGAGGAAGTTATAATGACCATTAATATACAAAAAGTATTTAATGATAATGAAAACAAAACCCTTTATTTTTTACTTATCATGTTTTCTGACTATAGATGAATTTTTTGGTAACTTTGCTGAAAAATGTGTTGTTTAAAGAAATCCTCAAGTTCAAGAATTTACAAACTTGAGTACTGAGCTAATTTTTGCTGGATTATTTTTACGAAAATATTTATATACATAAAATTCAAACAAAACATTCAAAGCAAAAAATTTAGTCTTCACGAACAAATAACCTTAAGAATATAATACATTATAATAACAGTGATAATGGTTGCTAAAAATAAAAACTTGAAAATAATTTAATGAAACCTGTGTATTAAAAAGCAATTTGAATGTCAAACTACTAAGTTTTGATCTTAAGAAACAGAAAAATGCAAATGAAAAAAATCAGCATTCACTATAAAAGATGAAAACAACTAAACAAACCAATAAATACTAACACAAGAGAATAACATGCTAAATGAATATAAACATACATGTTAGTTTTACAACAAAACATGCAAATTTCTATAATAGTAATTCTTTATAAGATAATAGTAAATAAACATAAAACAAAAAAAAAATATAAATATCCTATAAAATAACAGAAATTAGGAAGATTCTAAATACAGATTATAACAACAGTCCATGCAAAAAAGCCAATTACAGGCAAACAAACTTATATAGTTCAACTGCTTCTCATACAGAATTTTTAATTAAATATGCAAAAAAAGGTATTAATTTTAATTTTGAGTTTTCTTAAAAATTCATGTTTCTGTTTTGAAAAGCAGAAGAATTTACTGTAGAGATGAGATTCAGCTATATAATTAAATGTTAATTCAAGCATTTCTTTTTTTTTAAAGAGAGACTTTTTTTTGCATTTTCTTTGAATACTGCAACTTGTGTGTGCCCATGTCTTCCCAGAGGCTCTCTTGTAGTAACTTTTCTGTTCCAACCAGAACATTTTGGATTTCAACAGTACCAATCCTGGACTCTTCCTCTTGAGTATCAGCAGTGATGGACATTTACAGTTGACAGTTTAAGGCGCCAGAAATTTTCACATTTTACTTATTCTCATCTGTATCCTTTCAAAGATGACTTATGCTTTTCAAAAGAAAAGTGGGTTGACAGCAAAGATGGATATGATATCTATATTGACACCTTTATTGGATACCTGGCATTTGAGACAAACCATTAACCAAGATATGAACACCAACGATGTCTCTGTAACAGACTTCCAAAACATAACAAAATAAACTTGACCATTTTCTCCTGAACAAATATAACAATGTAGTAAAAACACTGGGAAAAAACATTCTGGAAAAGTCAAAACATAGAATAAAAGAAGTTGCTTTATGGTAGTGCATGTCTTAAAAATTTGTTCAATGCTGTCTCATTCACATCTACTTTTTAGTTGACACTTATTTTGTTGTAAAAGTTGACAGAGATTCTGACAAGCATTACCTTATCAACTGGAAAACTAAATTACCTCTAGTTTTCATCAATAATGGGGCATAACTCTTGTTCAATATATTGTAAAATCTGCAGATATTGAAATTAATCTGTGTTTTATGGTTTAAAATATTGCGTAAAACTCAGTAAAGACGACCTTTCAACTAACATCAAGAAACTGACAGTGTGAAAGACAGACATAACCTTTGCTCCTAACATACCATTATTCTTCTTGAGCAAGAGTGTGCACTGAATATGCTTACTACTCAAAACAAAGTAAGTACCCATGAAAATAAATGAATACACAGAAGTCAGGAAGTAACATTCGTCAATGCAATATGACAACTTTTTCTACATAATTTATTTGCATACCAGTAAAATATACAAATTTATTAAATACACTAAAATATACAATGTGTACTTCTTCCTCAAAAGAAGGAAGTTTTTTCCTCTCTAAATAATACATTAATATTGCACATATCATAATATTATTATAAAACTTTGGTGAAGATCAAAAATTCTTCTGCAATTTTAAAGCAACTTAAATCTGACAATGATAAGAGAGAAACCTATTCAAACATATAAATATGTCTGCTATTATTAATAAAACTTCAAACCTTTATTTGAAAATCTTCAATTTGTCTTTTTTTTTTACTTTTACTGGGAACTATCTTTAAAATCGTAAAAGAATTTTCTGAAACTTTACCTGAACAGCACAATTATTATATTTTGTATTGTTTCTATTGATAATAAAAAACAACAGATAATATTCTTGTATACAATTCCAAGCATGTATAAATCTTATTAGTTGTCCAGTGATCATTGGTTTAAAAAACAATTGCTATACTATCCCAATTCCAAGCCTTAAACCAATTTAGAACCAAACTGATATTTCTCTCATTTCTAATTTTTCCTTAAATTTAGAAAATCCTGAAGTTTGTAAAACACATGAAGCATTCAATATATCCAGAAATGAATAGACAACTAAATTCAGTGTATAAAGTATATAAAGATCATGACTTTTTTAATAACCTAAATAACAAGAGAAAAAAAATCCCCCCAAAAGGCCCTACATCATGTACATAAAATATCAAAGCTTTCATTCTTAAATACAATTTCTCTTTATTTATTAGTGGACGTATTTTTAGACTTAGATTTTTCACTTTGATAAAAGATTTAACACCTTTTGTATCTGGGACAAACATTTGTCCCATTGTCGAGCTTAAGATAGAAAACTGTGACACAAGAAAAGCCCCCCCCCCCCCAAGAATTTTAAAGAAAAAATACTATTGGAATACAGTCTTCTTTAAAAGTGAATGAAAGTATTTTCAATAAAATGACTAGCTTCTTTTATTTTCTGTACTTTCTAAATGTTTTAGAGAAAAAAAGAACTCAACTTTCTACAGTAAACACCAGGATTAACAGTTGGGAAAATCTAACGTGACCATTTAATAAAATACCAATAAATCTCATTTAAACAACATGGCGACAAGGGTATAAGACTGATTGATCATATAAATAGATATTTTCTAGATAGCCCATGGTACCAAAATCATCTATAGCATGATATACAAACTGATATAGGATAGGGTGCTACAAAATCAAATTATATGAATATCTTATAACATCATACTCAAAAAAGACAAAGTTTAATTAAAGCTTACAGATGTATAATTTCAATGTGGTATGTTAATTTATATTCTATTGGTGAGTGTCATGGCAACCAAACAGTTTATACATGGATAAACCGGTTTCATGACATCACAAGTATGTACATGTAAGTGTTTCTGAATTTCCTTTATCTGGACATACATGTACAATTAAGTGCATTTAAAAAAAAATTTCAATACAGGTTATTTTTATGGGGTTCAATGATGTGTAAGTTACGACTTTTCACTCAAAAACTTTACACAAAGTCCTTCAGTCTTTTTTGGCTTCATTTGTGAGTCGACCAATTTTATCCATCAATTAATTCCTTAAAAATAACGTTTATCACTATTGTAAAATTTCTAGACCATAAAATTTTAACACCCCATTTTAATCCTTAAAAATAATGTTTATCACTATTGTAAAATTTCTAGACCATAAAATTTTAACAACCATGATAATCTTGGTTCATTGACATAATGCCAGAGAAGGTTCACAACAGACTTTTTTCATAGTTGATATATTGAAAATAGGAAAATATAATGAACTGTATCTATGATCTTATGCTTAACAAATGATACACAGAAATCTATAGATATGATAATACATTGGTCTAATTAATAAATAACTGGTACATGTATATGAATTTACTACACACATATAAGTGTGTATTATGTTGACATTCTGAAGTTTGGTACACCTTTGCAGTTATAACAAACATGTTATGGTCTTGTTCACAATGTCCCATACATGTATGAAAAATTGAGTAAATATTGCTTTCTTTAAGTAGCTGTAAAACAATTTCTTTATCGAAAAAAATCTACTCAGCCTATAGAAATAATTTTGTAAAGCCTAAATTCAAATTTGGAATTAAAAAAAAGATCCTGTTCCCTGTGGAGTTGTACTGGTTCCTTCCAATGAATAGCAAATATTTCCTGTTGACATTCAAATGACAGTGTTTATTCTTCTTTCTTATAGGTATTCAAGTTGTTTTAAAGAAAATAATGGTGTAAAATAATAAGAAGTTTTTACAAGACAGATTTAAAGATATAACTGTGTGTCATTGGCCTGGGAAGAGCACTGCCTTGAGGGTGGTCCAGGAAATGGAGAACATAGAACTAATCAAGCCTAGCCCCAGGGACAGATGGGGTGAAATGAAATAACTTTCCAATGCACAACTTGGCTAATTCTCAGTTGGGTTATATAATTAGTCATACCACTTTAGCATGGACAGATGATATTCAAACATTTTCTTAATACATTTGTGCTACAAAAAATTTATAGACTTTGTATACTGATTACCATGATTATAATGTAATGAAGGTGACTAAACCTGATTATCGACATACAACTTTGTAATGAAGTTCTTAAAATAAGTAATTTGATAACATTACCCAGTCCATTCAATTTGGTCTCTTATATATCTTGTCTATGGAAACAACCTCACAAAAGTAAGTACAAAAATATCACATATGGGTAGATTAAATGTTTGTTTAAAACTTAATGTTTGTAAAACATGTAAAAAAAAACATCTATTGCACTGTTGTAAAATGCAAAGTGAAATTAAGCAAACTGAAGCAAACAACCTCAAATGTAATTACAACCTTTCAACATGTTCAATTAATCATGTACAAGAATAATGTAAAAATTAAAAAATGACCTACAGATTATTCAAGAATGCTCGTACCATTAATCTATTTTCACCAACCTGTCCGTTTTCTTTCAGTGAAACAAAATGGGGAAAGACCAAAATGTTGCACTTTTTTTGTCACTGCTAAATACTGTCTACAGAGTTAAGGCTTTAAAATTTATTAATTTTTATTAATCTGATTTCCAGGAAAGGATTTAATTAATTAAGAAACAAACCGTAAATAGTTGAAAATGTCCAAGTTTCCTCTGAAAATAAATGGAATGCCCTGCGAAATAATTCACATACTTTTAGCTGGTTTAACCATGCTTAAGGTCATGTGCTTTTTAGTCTATATTGTAACAGGTTCTCCTTCTGCAATCAAAAGTCACTGAAGTTTCTGAGTAGTTTAATTATGAATCATTTTCTTCAACATTGTTCTTGTGCAGAAATTCAAAAAAGGAAATCAAATAACTTTGTTCTACCATGGAAGTATAATATTGACAGGAACTCCAACAAACGGACTTCAAACGTTTATAGTGCGATGTCGCAAAATCGTTAAGTATCTGTTAACTCAACATGTCATATGGATGCATGGGTTCCGATCAAATTTTTGGAACCTTGTGATTGATCGTAATTACGGAACATACCGAAATAACCGGATGTGTACTTAATTGTCAAGGAAATGACATTTACCGACGATGCTTCTTAATGACGAATATGTCAGCTTTGACGGGTTTTGCTGCGTAAAAACAAATAAAAAAGAAAGAAACGAAATCCCCGCAACTGTTTTCACCAAAAATAACTGAAGAGTAAAAATACTCAAAAGCCATAAACATTTCAGTTTAAGTTACAATCAATCTAAATAGTAAGATTTTTTTATTCGTGAGAGGGTCGTTTACTAAACACACATTAGTAACTGTTATATACATGCTAGGCTTCAAAATCATAAAATTCTTATAAAAAGTAAACGGAAAAGTTTTTATCAGCAATTATTATCGCCTTTTACTGCTAACTTTGACAAATATTTTAATTAAGTGTTTACTGAAAGAATTTCCAACAAAAATTTAATTCAAAAGTTATGTTCATAGCGGCGGGGGCCGAGGGAGGTTAAAGGGCTTTGTTCGGAAAAAATATCAAATGTTTTGATTAATTGTTTACCGAAAGTCAAATGGCAAATATTTCATGCAATTCAACAAGAAACAAAAACATAAATTGCTTAACATACGGTGTAACTTGTTTCAGAACTGTTAAGCACACATAAATAAAAATATTCAAATTTGGTTCCCATGATAAAATTTAAAGAATAAAAAAAACATTATACTGCTGAGGGCCCATCATGGTGATCGTTCTTTAAATGCATCCAGAAATATTTAAAGCCATTCGTAAAAAAAAATTCTGTCAAACGTCAGAGTAATCTCGGACTAGGTTGAATGTTTAAGGTTGATTATAACTTTGGAATTATTATAAAAGGTGTAACAATTCATCTGTCTCATAACCTGATAATGCTATGTAAAGGTCATCACTTGCGTGTAATTATTAACCTCTTTTAGTCTTTAAAACATATTTGATAAATACGTTAATAACATTTTTCTTCATTGAGACGATAGAGAAAACCATAAATATTCTTGTAACATTCAATTAAAATTTACAACCTTTAACTTAAATTTGAGCTATCCTTTGCCATCTTACACACTACACGGGCATCACATTATTTTCCACAAACACCTGATTTTAGGTACATGTAATTTTTAATATCGGATATTTCCCGATTTCCAAGTTTCATTGATTAAAACATATTAAACAAAACTAAAATTAAGCTTGCCCTCTTTCCGAATGCACTTAATTTTCTTTGTCATTCTGTTAAATATGGACCGATTTTTTAGATCTTTTCAGCTTTTGCCTTCATTTATTGAATGGAAACAGGTGTCGTTATTCATGTAGCGATTTACAAATAACAACGGGAGTTTCCGTGTTTATTTACATTGGTAGGTAGATAAGACACTCGATACCAAATCACGTGATAAGAACAGCTTCAGTTAACAGAACAGGCGAAGGCGGCATCACAGATACCCCACAGAGGAGTTATCACGTACTTGACAAACTGAGTCAGAACCTTTTATTTTTTTAAAGAAATCAGTGGGATGGGAATGTGCTAGTTTTTCGTTGGAGTTCCTGTCAATATAATACTTCCATGGTTCTACCAAGTTAAGTACATTGTACTATATATTTAAAATGTCCAATGAAATCAGTCTTTTATGTCATAGACAAATCAAGAAATCATAATCAGTATCTTCCTGTTTTTTTTTCAACTGGTGTTCACAAATACACGTGGTTATTCATATTCCTGTTCCAATTTTGTTGTCACTTCAACTATGTTAGATAAAAGACTGAGTGCAAAAATGATACATGTATGTAACATCCTAAGTTTAGACATTAAACCTATTCATGTTTAGACAATCTGTTGAGTGTTTAGGTAACCTAATAATCCTATTCATTTTTAGACAATCTGTTTAGTGTTTAGGTAACCTCATGAAAACTAACTTAATGGTATAAGCATTTTTACCTTAAAAAATTCAAAGGAAAAATTATGGGATACTTTAGTGAAAAGAATATTCAATATAGCAAATTTGTTATAAACATTTCTATGAATAACAAAATTGTGGTGACATTCTAATGAAAGAGTAGTGAATGAAGTTTAATGTGTTTTTCAAATAATAACTTCACCAGCAATGCAAATGCATTTTGCCAACTTAAAACATTCCTTTTTGCCTGGCAGCATGCAATGATATATCTTAATCTGCTTCCATCCAGTGAACCATGTTTCTATGAATTTACATGTGCATGAGCAAATCAAACTGAATAAAGGAACAAAGTTATGTATCAATAACCAACAAACGCACACAAAGTAATTGTAAAAGAATATTGCACCTTGTTAATAAAAATGTTGGGCCATTCACTGAACCTTCCATATGCATGTATTTGTACAAAAAAAGTAAAATACTTCCTGACAGAGCACCTGTATGTAGTAGTATTATGTAAATTTATGGATTTCAAATAATCATATCAATAAAAAGTCATTTATGTTCATAAAAATGGATTTCTAGTCAAGAGGGTTCAGTGAAGAGACACATACACCATATCATATGATGGAAAAAAACTACCTGATATTTAAAATAATATTTTTTGCTTGCATGTGTTTCCAACACAACAACAAAAAATTTGCAATGTCCACAAGTTAATAATTTGAATGTAACAATTTTTTCCATCAAATGATCTGAGATTCATTCCAAAAATTTCTATTTACAAACTTTAACATGTCCTTTTATTTTGCATTCACACAAACCTGTGTGGTGGGTTTCCTGACCGATGAGGTTTCAGTCCCACTGCTGTGCACCACACTGACAGGTATATGTACTGCTTTTGGTGACCTAGCGGCCCCATCTTTGGTTAATGAAATACCCACCTTTGGGGGCGGAGCTGGTTTTGAGGTTGATACGGCTGACAAAACTGGTTTGTTGGGTGGTAAAGGGGGTGGAGTACCACGACCTGTTGGTACCATTTTCCTCGGCGACACATTTCCAGATGAAAGACTAACATTTGGATGACCACTCACATTAACAGTCAGAACTTTTCCACCTCCTGATATCGTTGTTGAAGAAATGGACGACATCTTAGAACCGCCTCTACTAGTTTCTAAACCCATTTTGTCATTTGAAGCTGCACCAACAGGTGCAAAACGAACATCAGTGTTACTTTTCCTTGCATAAGTTTCCTTGGATCTATCAGGAGACATTGTTATAGAACGAGCCTTCCTTTGTACCTCACTCTCAGTATAAACAGGAGACATAACTCTGTTTTGAGTGTCTGTTATCACATTCATGTCACTCTGTTTTGGCACAATTTTTGGGCTTGTAACAAGTGAAACATCTGCCGATTGACGTGGAGAAGCTGTCGACCTAATTTCAATGCTTTGTATAGAATCTTTATGAACATGTTTTTGTAAGGCTTCTATTTGCTTCTTTAATGATTCTATCTCAATTTGATGTTCCTTATTTTTGGCTTCCTCTTTGGCAAGCTTTCCTTTTAACTGTTCCCTTTCAACATCAAAATCACTTAACTGTTTCTCCATCACAGCCTCCATTTTCAATGATTTTTTACTCTCCTCCACAAGTCCTTCAACAACATTTACATGTTTGTTCTTCTCTTCTTTTAGAGCTTGTTCATACTTTTTCAGTTTCTCTCTATCAAGAATTAATTTTTCTATGAGTTTCTTTTGTTCCTTTATAAGCATAACTGCAACCTGTTTATGTTTCACAGAATTAGCACGTTCCTCTTCAAGACTAGCTAGGGTTTTCTTCAGATCTTTTTCTATCTTTTTATTCTGATTCTTTTCATAATCAATCTACAAAGTAATAAAACATGTGCATACCCGATATAACTTGGGCTTTTTGATATGTATATAAATATGTATCAGTTTGAAAAGCATTTAAGACTTTTGAAACCAACTGAAGAAAATAAATTTTGGTACATCTGTAGATCTATTTTTCATTAAGAATACCTATTGACAAATGTTCTTAGCCATGCTATTTTGTCTATGTATTTGCAAGATCTCTTACCTGTGTTGTTTTCATTTCTTTTTCCCCCATATTTTTCTTCAAAATGCTTGTAATTTATTGTTTAATTTTGTGCACATTATTTTTTGTCTGGAAAAATAATACTTTTGAAAGTACTTGTATATAATATTTTTTTCTACCGATTTAATTCTATCGTTACTCAGTTCTGTGGTCCAGCATACTAGAGGTCTATGAAAAAATTTTCATTTTTCTAATATGATTTATTGCCTTAAAATATTTCTTCCTGAACTAATATTAATATCATTGGACTTTGTTTTGAACAAGTAACAGCTGTCAACATTTAATGTAGCTGTTCTCCTTTTTGTGTGTTTTTTCTGATTTGTGATATGCTCCTTGAAATGTGCATATCTTAAACACAGAACAATTAAAGAAGAAAAGCAGTTTAACTACTTATCTTCTAAAAATCAACCTTTGATGACAGACCTGTATGTTTGGCTGTACAGGATATATATACATAGGCAACTTATGTACAGTCAGACAAGAAACATTTTATAAAATGAAAATTGTAAATAAAATGATCTTTGTCTGTTCATAATAAGACCACAAGCAATTCATTAGAGGGTCCATAAGTGACCTGATGTGAAGCTACAATCCTTGTCCTACAATATGCCTTATTTCTTAAGTAACAGTTAAAATTATTCACCAATTATTCAATCTTCAGGATCCTACCAATCACAAAAGATGTTCTCAAACTGACTTTATGCATTTAACATTTGCATGTAGCTATATCTATAGTTAGCAAACCAATAAATATTATAATTTTGTTTTCCTTTTAGAGATTACAGACATCTAAATAAACATTTCAGAACAAGAAAAACAGCAAAAACAAACCCAGTTGTTACATTTTCAATATTTATGTAGTGTTTAGGGTACAACATATAGTTGAAAGCCTTAGTCAATTCAAAATGAAGACATATTTGATATGGTATTTTTTTCTTTTGTCATTATTCTCGCTAGTATGCAAATGCTATATCATGACTTGTTACATTAATCACACTCTATGACCGTTAGCTGTTAAACACAGACCTTCATCAAGTAGGTGACAACAAGTATACAGCATTTTTTAGTAACATAAACACAAACTGTTAACAAGTTTAAGAAAACCTTTTATCACACATAAACACACTTACACAGACCTTAAATAAGAAGGGGATAAACTTTATAACACATAAACACTAAATACAGACCTTCAACAAATATCTGACAATGATTTTCACATGTAAATACAGACCTTTAACAAGTAAGTGACAAACTATACCAATGCAAACACAAACCACTCCCCTTCGATATAAAATATAAACTAATTTGCACACTGTGGGATCACTGTTTTGCTTAGAATAACAGTATTTGAACAGACAATTATTTTTAGCTACAATGAGGCTTGCAAAAGAGTAAAAATGTAAAACAATTTCTTGCTTTTTCATTAAAATCTTTTCATCTTGGTTTCTACATTTAACCAAAGCAGAATAGAGTCGACAGTAAAACACATGTTTGTAAATATTATCATAAAGTAGTAAACCACATTTTACAATTTGTTTTTCTCTTTCAATAGTATATACCTCTTGTTTTAATCTTTCTCGTTCTTTCTCTAACATATATGTAACATCATCTCCTTGTGCTGTATCTTGAGCATGTTTACGTTTTTCATCTTCTAATTCTTGGCAAACCTATATATTAGAACAAAATCAGAAATATTGATAAGACACTTCAGTGACCCATATCCAATGGTGTAAATTCTAAAAGCAATGTTAAGGAAGCATTCATAAATAAATAGAGCACTGTCAAGTGACCTTGAACTAAAATCAAATAGGTGTTTTAACTGTCTGGTAACCAAGCACAGAGCAATATCTGCATATGTTTACAAAGGTGTCTTTAAGCTGTGAGCTCATATTTTAATCCAATAGGATTTATGCTGTCGAGATGACCCTGCCCTTATCAATGTATGATTATGGATTGGATGCAGTTACCCCAGCTCCATGTACATGTATATTGTGGTTTAAATATTACTTTTCCTAAAACCCTGTTGTGACCTAGACATATGACTCTGAAATTATATAAGCCAAAGTTCTCATCATGGCCATGCATTGAAAATAAGGGCTGGAGGTCTACAGTACCTACAAACTTAAATATTGTGATCTTTGACCTCCTCTGTTGTGTCAAAAGATTTAAATCTCCTTAATCAATCTCATGAAATTTACCTCCCAGCTCAAACCTTAAAATCATTAACGACTCGATCACTCCCAAGCAGTCTTCTATGAGTTGATGAAAAACTGTACTAGTGCATACTTGAGAGAATAAGACATACACTCCTGCAAACTGGCATTTATATTTCTACTTTCACAACTTAGTTAATGATAATTGAATGCTTTGGTTTCTTATTTTCCTCAACCCTGCCATTTTTTTTCAATTATTCATCCTTAAAAGCCTTATTTCTTTAAGTTTAAGTAAAAGAGTTAATTGTATGTTTATAGTAAAATTAGATGTAGACAATTTTAAATGTACATGTATTGTTGAATATCTGGAAATGCATGATAAAGATGAGTTTATATGGCTGTATAAAAACCTTGTTGTGTTTTTTCTCAGCTACAGATAACTGATCCCTCATTTTCATCTGTGCCTTTCTCTGCGTTGCTATCAAATTTTCTAACTGAGCCAGTTGGTTGTCATACATAGATTTTATAGCACCTTCATCAAAACTGTTATCATTCAACCTGTCAGTGTCTCTTTGCAAAGCCAAGAAAGGATCTGTTGTGTTCACTTTTCCATATTTTGCTTGATATATCAGTTGTTTGGCTTTTTCAGACTATAAAATCAAGAAAAAACATTTCAGTTTTCAATATGAACACAAAATATATTGAGAATTGACAATTAAAAAAATAATACAACTTGAAATTTAGTGTGAACATATGGTGATCATCTGCAAATTCATCTTTTTGGCCATAAAGAATAAACCAATTCAAACTCAAAATAATAGTTTTGCTTCTTGTATATGTAAAATTGTTTTAAGTTACAAGAAAAACTATGTTAATATCTTCAGCCAGATTTGTAAGTTAGTTAATGTAATAAATACAAGGTTGATTGTTAAGATATACTTGTATGAAATACACATATTCAGAAAGTAGCAGAACTGCCCTTCATTCTCCAAAAGTATATGGATATTTCTAAAATTATTGAATGGATATATATATATATATTTTTTCCCAAATGGAAATTATTTAATTTTTATAAAGATATTTGACTGATTCCCACATTTATATCTAACCACTATATTATCCCAATAACCTGTCAGCATCATGGTAATGTGATGCTTAATTGCTTATAAGTGATCTTATTTGATGAGATTTTTTTAGAGATTGTATTATGGATGCATGAAATTTTACATATTTCTAGAACCAAATTGCATTTTGTATCCTAAACTTTACTGATAACCAGAATGCTATATGCCATTTGTAGGGAGAACACTGTCTAGCAGATAGTGCTGATTTGTCATTTTCCAAAGACAATAAACATAATGCCAAGCAGAAATATAATTGTGTGGTCATATAGAATAAACCAATTGAAAAACAAAATAAACTTCTTTTTCCTTGTATACTTAAATTGTTTTAAAAGGCTGATCTGAAAATAATTTTGACCATGGATTGTAAACAGAAAACTTTTTTTCACCTTTGACTGACTAAAATTGCCCCAAATAAGAATTGTACTGCCTGTGTCAATACACGCTTGACTTGTGAAAATCATCTCTTTTGCCAAATATTTTGATAAACATACTTATGTACACATACATGTATATGTGGATTTTTGTCAAAATTTTTGTGTTGTTGGATTGCTTTGTCATTGATACATGCTCCATTTTATTATATTCAATAGCAGGTGAAAACTTCAGCATGAAGTTTCAAGGATCTGGATATAAAACTGTAGGAGTAGATCTAGAAGATTACATAAAGTGCATTCTAGGTACCCGCTTTTCCCCTGCACTTTGTGCAACTTGCCCAAAAAAGTCAGCACATGAAATGAGGTTAAAAACACAACTTCCCATCAAGTGGAACTTTCATTTATATAGTCTATTAAATAAATATCATTTAAATATCCCCATAACTCTTACCCGAAGTGTTGCTATGACAACCTCTCTGGCTTGCAATTCACCTTCAAGATAACTCAACAATTTCAATAATTCATTTTTGCTCAAATCCATCTTTGGATGTCTCTGAAAAGGTAAATTTATAAATATATATATATATATATGTGTGTGTTTGGGTAAAATAAAAGGCAGATATTTCTTCATCTCCATCTCATAAAATTGTTAATTATAAAAAAAATAAATGGGGAATGTGTCCATGGGACACAGATGATGCCCCCTCTTGCATATCATTTAAAGTTATAAAGGGACATAACTGAAGAATGGTTAAAGTGACGCTACCCAAATTTATTATTGATCTGAGTTTTGTAGTAATAAGTATTGTGTATAAGTTTCATAACATTTGGTTGAGGCAAACTTAAGTTAAAGAACAGAAACGAAAAATTCAGCATTTTTTCCTTTTTGTAAAGGGGCATAACTCTAGAACAGTAAGAGTGACACCACCAAATATCAAATTTGATCTGTATTTTGTGCTAATAAAATTGTGTATAAGTTTCATAACATTTGGTTGAGGCAAACTTCAGTAAGAGAACGGAAACGAAAAATTCAGCAATTTTTCCTTTTTGTAAAGGGGCATAACTCTAGAACAGTAAAAGTAAAACCAACAAAATTCAAACTTGACCTGTATTTTGTGGTAATAAGCATTGTGTATAAGTTTCATAATATTTGGTTGAGGCTAACTTAAGTAAGAGAACGGAAACGAAAAATTCAGCAATTTTTCCATTAAATGGGTAATTATGGTTGCAAACTCCATTGGAAATTCAAAAAAATGAATATAAATTCAAATCATATAACCAATTCTAAGTTCTTTGACTACAGTTATTCTGTGTCAGAAACCTATTATGTGTCAAATATTTAATTACAATCCAAATTCAGACCTGTATCAAGCGTGAATATTGTGTCCATTTTTGCCCCAACTGTTCAGGGTTGGACCTCTGCGGTTGTATCCAGCTGCGCTCGACGAAGCAATTTATTCCATTTGTAAAGGGCATAACTCTAGAACGGTTAAAGTGACGCCACCAAAATTCAAACTTGATCTGTGTTTAGTGGTAATAAGCATTGTGTATAAGTTTCATAACATTTGGTTGAGGCAAACTAAAGTTAGAGAATGGAAACCAACTTTGGGACATACAGACAAGGGTAAAACTTAATGCCCCCTCCACTACGGCGGGGCATAAAAACTCTTTTTTTTTTGAAATATGTGGGCCCTAAATTTGTAAATCTTACATATATATATATATATAAATGTTTAATTATGTAGAACACTGGAAACTATCCAAACCATAATAAAGCCATTAAAGGATCAGGAATTTTTTTTTACATAATTAATTTTTGTCATTGTTTTACATGTTTTCATGGTTTTAGGACTTGAAATAAAGTCTAAACTACATGAAATCATGTACCTGTTGTTTTTTTTAAATGTTTACAAGAATGTGTCCATAGTACACAGTCTGTACACAGATGCCCCACTCGCACTAGCATTTTCTATGTTCAGGGGATCGTGAAATTGAGACCAAAACTCTAATTTGGCATTAAAATTAGAAAGATCATATCATAGGGAACATGTGTACTAAGTTTCAAGTTGATTGGACTTCAACTTCATCAAAAACTACCTTGACCAAAAACTTTAACTTGAAGCGGGACAGACGGACGGACGCATAGACCAGAAAACATAATGCCCCTACTACTATCGTAGGTTGGGCATAAAAAATTATCTGTGTCATATAACAGTTTAGAATTAAACAATTTAAACAAGACTAAAAATTACAATTCCTTCAGAATCAATCATGCTATATTTACAATAAGGGTTCCATCAGTTTATCAAAATGGCAGTAACTGTCAGATTGTAATTTTTAATTCACTTTGACTACTTGTAAAATGTATATATATATACATATAGATATGGCTCATAATCATTTTACTCATGTAAAAAGAAATGACTTGCTGTGTTTTCATGACGAAGCATTTAATCTTGTACCTGTTAAAAAGGGGTGTATTGCACACATGCATGTAGCATCAAGAACAAAAGCATGTTCGACTACAAAATACTATCCTCTACAAAGTGTATAAATATTTTTAATGATAATATCTAAATTGTTGAGACAGCCTTGGTTAAAAAATTCTTAACATGTCAGGCCACACTTAAAAATATTTTGGTTTGCACCAAACCCTACCCAAAGGTACAGTGGGTATAGGTAGGCATTTTCTTTGTTTTTCGGCAAAGAGAAATTGAAGTGTCAGATGTTTTTTCGTCTCAGGGCTCACACTACTTCAGAATCATAGGTAGAAGTGACTTCTCTTTTTGAAACTGAGAGGGAGAAGTGGTGAGATTTGAAAGAAAAGTACTCATTCGCTCGTGGCGCTTCAATGTTTGGTTTTTACAATAATACAAAGGGCCATGTGTATCTTATTTTTTTATATTGTTCAATTTGTACCTGGGAATACAATAAAAGTAACAGTTCAAATTTAAAGTTGTTTAATTTTATCATATCTAGTTGCACAATCATATTAGTCCTCTTGACAGAAAAAAAACAGTTAAATATCTAGCAATAATTAAAAAATATATTTTTATACATGTATCAAAAAGGAAAAAATGTTGTTATATCAATTAAAATTCAATTTAAAATGTACTCTGTTATCATGTTTATGAAATTCAGTGTTTTTCATCAAAAAAATATATAAATTTAACACAGTTAAGCCTAGACATAGTATAATAGTCCCAGAGCTGAGCAATTTTAATTAATAAATTTAAACAATGCATTTACATGGACATATATACATTAATTAAATAGATCTAACCAAAAGTATGTTAATGCGCGTGGAATGCGTAATTTTTCCTTTTGGGATCAATATTCCTCTGTTAGCTGTGCCATTCATGCCTCCGTAGTCATTATTGTAAGAATCCGGATTTCGGTCATAGCTGGTCCGGTTCCAATCAGTAATTAGCATAAATATTTCAATGGCGGACTAAGAAAAATTTACAAAAATAAACAATGTTTGACACACTATTTGGAAAGGAATATGACGTTTTTAATGCAATACATGGATAACAAATTTACTTCAGGCAAATTTCATCACGTTTTAATGAAGTTAGAATGATTTGATGTACGCTCTCCAGTTACAAGTACCGGAAGTGATCAAAAATTGTTTTTATGAAATAACATGCAACCAACTTTAAAATCAATGCTTTAACCTCTTTTCTGAAGAAAATAAATCGTTTTATGTCTTTGAATTTCTTTACTTTTAAATGAAAAATTGCTGTTTCATCGACTTGGTCAAAATTGAATATTGCCGATGACGAAAACTACTGAAAGCGAGTATCGTAAACAACAGGGCGACTAGATTTCGCTTTTGACGGTAGGGGAAAGCGAAGTGACGGCCGGGAAAGCGACTTTGTCGCCCCATTCGAATGGTAGTGTGAGCCCTGAGTCTTCATGCCTATCTGATTAGATTTTGAGTAGGCAGCTATTTTCTGGGTAGGTTGGGTTAGGGCAAACAAACATTTAATCTCGCTGCAAATGTTTGCACCTGTCCTAAGTCAGGAATCTGATGTACAGTAGTTGTCGTATGTTTATGTAGTTCATACGTGTTTCTCGTTTTTATATAGATTAGACCATTGGTTTTCCCGTTTGAATGGTTTTACACTAGTAATTTTTGGGGCCCTTTATAGCTTGCTGTTCGGTGTGAGCCAATGCTCCGTGTTGAAGGCCGTACCTTGACCTATAATGGTTTACTTTTATAAATTGTTACTTGGATGGAGAGTTGTCTCATTGGCACTCATACCACATCTTCCTATATCTAATAACCCTTTTTTATGGCCTGTATAAACAGGTTGGGACAAAACCCCCTATATGGTCATAATATCTGTATAGAGTGCAAATGATTACCCTTCTATAGAGGGATAAAACTATCCCTCTATAGAGGGGTTTATTTGTTTAGACTGGATTTAAAGCAGAACATGGCAAATGTGCATTTTCTACTTACTTTGGCAGTAAAATGCAACATTAGATGCACCAATTCATGTACTTAATTTAATATGCACATGTCTAGTTCACTGCTAAAGTGTTTGAAAATACAATCTATTGTTCATCATTATTAAAAGCTGATCAGGTAAATTCCACTCAGTTATGCCTCAATGAACAGATTACTATTGTCAGATTTAACATAAAATTTAAAGGTCAACTGTCCCTATTTTTGTTGATCAGGTGTTCAGGTAGGTACACAATAGATTGCAAGTTGTGTCACTTTAGCAGAAAACTGGGCATCCCAAATTTTTAGTTAAGTGCAATAATTGATACCTATAATGCTATAGATTACACCCAATATAACTAGAAAAGGCACTTTCACCATCTTCCCGCTTTAAATCCAGTCTTAACAAATATATCCCTCTATAGCGTGACAATGTTATCCCTCTATAGAAGGGTAATCACTCTATCGCAGGTATTATCACCATATATCTGGGATTTGGTCCCAACCTGTTAAATAGAAAAGTAATTCATCTGAACTAAATAAAAATATCCTGCAGTCAGTCGATATCACAGGTAACATTGATTATCAATCATTAGTCTAACGTTAATCTTTGGGGCATTAAAACAGTAACTTGCTGGGCCCTAGGAATTATCATACAATACCTACTGGCAGTTTTATTACACAAACTCCAACTGATATTAAAGGGTATACATGTATTTCTATTTCCTCAGTTCCCCCTATAATGATTAATTTTCTGAAACACAACTTTTCCAAACAAACAGGTTTGTCTGTATTCAATGTCAAAATTTTGGCGTTAACACAGCCATATTTATCAATTCTTTCTGATGAACCTTAAGTAATGCCTTGGTCGTTTCATTCCTACTGTTGTATGCGTTATAGATCTATGAGAAGATATGAAAATGCAATGTTCAGTTTTCATTCAATCAAGCTATGGATATTAGGTGAGCCTGCTAATAAAACCACTGAGGTGGTTGGTGAAATTTTTGTTGTGGGCAGTCTTTTTGTGGAAAGTTTATAAATTTCTTCGACAATGCACTGTCGTAGACAATCGTTAGGTCATAATGAGATGCAGATTTGAAATTTAATTCTGACGAATGTACCTTTAAAGTGTTTGACTGCAACTTTTCGGGTGTATCATATATACTAGGCTGCTGTTGTCGAACATTTCGATCCGCCATCTTGGATCGAAAACAAATGAAATGTCAGTTCAGCTTTCCTTTAACGTTTCACTCATTAATCTTCAGAAACCAATAATTAACAATTAACTACATGTTAACACGTGGTCTTTTGTGTACATCTAGTTGCACTGAAGTGTTTACGCTCCAGGGCATCTAATTATTTGGAGTCTTTTGATCATATTGTTTGCAGAAATTTAATATTTGGTCACGTGACAAAATGTTTATGGTACTCTCTATTGTTTCGAAATCCAACGTCTTGAAAACTTTATAGCGAATGCTAATGGTTAAATCTATATTTTAAAAATTCTTTAATGTACTTCCGTTTCAAATTGATGTGGTGACATTTTTCTACTTCTCATTGGAAAAGGGGACATGTGGTGAAAATAAAAATACTGAAATGGAGATATTAATACTAAACCAGCAAACTATAACGGTAATTGTTATTTCCGGAAACAATTGACTTGCCACATCTCATGATTAAGAAAGCATACAGTGAAAACTTTAACATGTCTAATGGTTTTTGTAGTAAAATAAAAGTGTTATTAGGTAAACCTGGGACTATTATACTTAGTATAATAGTCCCAGGGTAAACTTGGTTTTCAGCATGTTTGGGAAAATCAAAATACTATGTCAAAGACAAAATTACTTTTTTCAGTTCAAAAGAAATTAGAGGAGGAATTCATAAAATCCTGGAAACAAGCTCTTTTTTGTGACTCTAATAAAGATAGTCATGGTAATAAACTAAGAACGTATCGCAAAGTTAAAAATAATCACGAATTAGAAAAAAACTATCTCCTACTGGACCTTAACAAAAATGTTATTTCTAAAATGGTAAAAATTAGAATTATAATAGCAAATTACTGATAGAAGTTGGTAGATATACTAGAACACCTTTAGAACAGAGAATTTGTCCACTTTGCAAGGATGGAATTGAAGATGAATTCCATTTCCCCATTAAATGTAAAGCGTTAGAATTTTTAATAGAAATATACTCTTTTCAACGGTAATTTAAGTGATATATAGTTCCATCTTTTGTTAATATGTCTGAACAAGATAAATTTAGTTTCATTTTGAAAAGTAATGATACTGACATTTGTACTGTACGTGTAGCTGGAATAAGCGATATGTATGATTCGAACATTCATTTAAAGCAAACATAATGTTGTTAAGAACTGTTGTAGTATTAAAGCTTATTGTAATAGCTTGAAGTGATAATATAGTTTGAATAACACCTCCACGCAATGTAGATATAAAATATGTGTCTCTTATCATTGAGAAAACATATCTCTCTATATTTGTTTTTTGTTTATTTTTGTCTGTTTTTGTATTTGTATTTTGTAAATGTCAGCTGGTATCATTCCTGTATTGGAATTTACACCAATAAAATTATTTGATTTTGATTTTTTGATTGAAAATGGTTATCAGTAGTTAAAAAACCCGGGCCACAAACTATTTTTAAAATTTCGAAAATTAACAATTTATAAAGGACCACAGACTAAAAAATGATCAAATACAGGTTAATCCTGGGACTAATGCAGAGATAATTATAGTCTATGTTGGAGCATGAACAATCAGATGCTGTTTTATTTCTGTATGTGCTGATTTAAAATTAGAAAACTCAAAACCAGTACGGAGAAATGAATAAAGGGGAAATGCACTTCTTCAATTAAGTGACTTTTAAAATTTCAATTTTGATGTAGCCCTGTGAAAATATCATTTTTGAATGTATAAAGTTGTATGACATCATTTAGATGCATGATGAAAAATATGACCCGGCGATCTATCATGATGGAAACGAACACTTAAATTATCCCTTCCTGCTCCTGGTCTTACGCAAGAACATAAGATCAAAGAAATGATAAACCCTTCTATCATGTGTGCATTTTTTTTATAGAATTGTTATTTCTTTGCTATATTATGTTGTTTTTTTTTTGTCACAAACTAAATATGTTTATATGAGAATAAAGATATTTTTATTATGATAAATAACAAAGGGCCAACATACTTCACGCAAAATTTGTGACGACAAAAATATAAATTAATGAGCTAGCTGAAGTAGCAGAACACTTCAATGAATTTTTTAATGTGACAAAAGACATTGGCAACAACACACCTGCTAACCAAAACCATAAAATGGATAAAATATACAGGCAAACGGCAGAACTGCTACACAAGAACTAGAATTATATATCATCTCAAATGAATTCATAGACAAACTACTTAAAATAAAATTAGGCGCAAAAACTTAAAGTGTATTATGTTTACATTTTGTATGTCTTGTGTATTATTTTTCGGTTAAGCTTACAAGAGCTTATGCTATTGTCACTAGAACACACCCGCAACATCGCGGGTCAGTGACTCAATAAGTGGTATGATGATTTCTTATGAGACAACTATATAACAGAGTCCAAATGAAGCGAATTTAATTTAGCACAATGAGCAAAACCGATACCGTATATTGAGCTATAAAATCCGTCGGAACCCGTCCTTGCTTTCTTATTTGGTTTCTTAATATAGGACTTTTACCGTGAGCAGCTGGACGAGTGTCAGAGTGAGGCAGGAATCGCTTATTCTTCTGTATAATCTTATTTTGTCTCTAGTTTTATTGGAGCACATGTTTGCCACTTGTTATCCCCTAAGTTTCTAAAGAAAGTGCAGAGTTCAATGTGTATGTCTGTCCTCAATTAAAACTTCCAGAAAATGTAATTACATGTGTGTGCTCATGAATGAAGCAAAATGAAATACATGAGACTAACCTTAAACGTGTATACTTTTATTTTGGCATTGCACTAGTCATGTCTTCTTTGACTGTTCATGACGTTAAAACACTAAATCCCTGGGATGTGTTTTAGTTGACTTTAGTCTCTGATGCATGATTTTTTTATTATTAATTGTTTTTGGCTTTTAACTAGCTTTCTGTAACTGCGAGTACTCTCAAATCTTACTTTCGTGTTAATTTGACCTGTTGATACAATTTGTAATGTATTTTTGTTATTTAATGTTTACTTATTCAGTTTTATATCTAGTCTCACTATTTTTAATATATACCACCTTTGATAAGTGTGTAGTATGACGATATAAATTTTCACTTTTGTTCTCGTACTAGGAACAACAAAATTATTTGTTTTGTAAAAATTATTTCCGTATTCCATGTATACCTTACAACATAATTATTTCTATTTACCTGTGTACGTTATTTTATTTGGCGGCATTTTGTCAAAGGTTATGGTTGTCTTTCTGATATTGTTAAACATCTAACCCCCTTGTTTTATTAATTTTGTATTTACATTGTGTCATAGATCAAATTTATTCGTTCAGTGTATAGATATAGGAAGATGTGGTATGAGTGCCAATGAGACAACTCTCCATCCAAGTTACAATTTATAAAAGTAAACCATTATAGGTCAAGGTACGGCCTTCAACACGGAGCATTGGCTCACACCGAACAGCAAGCTATAAAGGGCCCCAAAAAATTACTAGTGTAAAACCATTCAAACGGAAAAACCAACGGTACGCACAGTAAAACTCAGTTCAAGAGACGTCCGAGTCCGATGTCAGAATAGGAAACAAAAGAAAATAATTTGACAATAATACATAAATAACAACAGACTACTAGCAGTTACTGACATGCCAGCTCCAGACCTCAATTAAACTGATTGAAAGATTATGTCTTCATCATAAAAATATCAGGCACAATCCCTCCTGTTCGGGGTTTAGTATTATACCATCATAAAATATATGAGAACATAACCCGTGTCATGCCAACAACTGGTTTTAGAATAATTATGTTTAATTCCGATGCAAAGACCCTATAAGTGAATCAATAGTAAAGCCAAAATATGCAATCTTTAATGACCTGACAACAGTATCGTAACTATATCCCTTCTTAATAAGTCTGTTAAGGTAGATAGGGTGTCTTCCTCCATCTTGGATTTTGAAATACCAGAAAACAATCGGTCTAGATCTTTAATAAAAGGTGCAAATTTTGAGAGTAGTACGTAATTCATGTGTAAGAATTTTCATTTCAATATAGAAAATGACATATTTTATCATATTGATAGTTGTATTTTACAAAAAAACCAAATACGTTTGTTTAATTCTATTTTTTCCAACTTTGCCACACAAGGGGAGGCAACTCAAATGTAAGGGCAGATAATTCAGATTAAGTTACTTTTACAATAGAATGTGTTAGGAATTTACCTATTTTATTATGTAGCCAAAAAAAGGGTCCCGTGACCCCATTTTTTCTTTTTCTTATCTGAAAGCATACTATTAGAGCTATCTTCTCATATTTTATCTCAAAATTCTATGGTGTAGTTTTCATTTTATGACAGAAAATTGGGTTTTCCATGCATAATCTATACAAAATCTGTCAATTTTGCAAAACCTGTAGCGTGAAAATAAGCCCGGTGACCCATTCTTTTTATTATTTTTTTTTAAAAAGCATGATATAAACTACATTTTGGCAAATTATTAAAAAATTCTATGGATTATAATTTAGACACCCCATCTACCTTAAAAGGTTTATTTGTGTTTTTTTTTTCGAATATTCTTTAATATTTTACTTATTTTCACTTAATTACTTATTGCGTTCTTGCTCTTATCCATTCGATCTTTCGATATTACAATTACAGTAGTTTATATTTGTAAAGCCTCTCTATTCTTATTTTCCAGAAGGCACGAAAAAGAGGAAATTTGAATATCGTACATCCTCTCGCATACGGCACGTCACCGTGACAAATTAGGACATGTGGAAGATAATAAAGAATAGAAAGGCATCACATATAAACTGTAATGTAATACCGTAGGGATAAGAGGAAGAACGCATTAAATAAGTAAAAATAAAGTAAAATATTAAAGAATAGTGACCAAATAAATGCATGTATAGAAAGGGGGTCCATTTCCAAAGCGACTGTGATATATGCACATTGAATCTCATTCACTACTTGGAATATATTTTAATCTCTGATGTGAATACTTTACCCAAAAAAAAGCGTTAAAACAGTTGACTGCAATGTTCTTAAAAGTATTAAGTTTTAATTTACTGCATACGTTTTTTTTCCATTTTTTCTGTCAGTTAATTGAAAAGAGCAGTGCCGTAAGCCTGGAGTCGACTGAAAAGTGGGGGCGGGTGAGGGGGGGGACTAGTTTCTTTAAGTAACAAGCAATAAAAGCACCTTTTCCTCTTTATTTTCAATATTTCATT